CATCTGCCTGTTGACTTCTACGGGCTCCTAATTCACTGGGACGGCCAGGAACACCAGAAGAATGGGACATCGCAGGCCAAGCACACAAGAGGTGAAAGTATTTGCCACAGACAGCTTCATGTACAAGTCACAACATGGTACACTAGGCAAACCTCAGAGCGACCCATTAACATTGCTGGGAGATAACCCATCCACAAAACCCTACCAGAGGCTTCTTCTCCCCACCTATGGAAGGCCAGCAGAGTGGGAAACAAGAAACAAGAGCGGGAAGCCAGAAAAGGAGAGCCTACAACCAACACTGCTGCTTCACTAGCCATGCCACAGAGTCCGCCTGAACCACACTCACCCCCAGCACTGACTGACAGTGGGTCTCCATGGGTTTGGTTGTGGTACCCAGGAGCAGGACAGACACAGCCCGCCACAAGAGTACAAGCTACAGCCCTGCTCACCTCCACCCCGTTTTCAGACACATTTCCCAACCTACAAAACCCTCCAAACCCTTCATTCCTCCAAACACAGGTCTCTGCTGTCAGGTCAGAAACACAGGTGGACAGCTTCGTGGACCCATGCTTGCCTCGGCCAGCAGCACCTCTCACCCTCTGGGCAGCCCGTGCCCTCTAAGAGCCAGGGTGCCCCTCATGGGCTGGGGGTAACCCTCACAGCCCCCGCCTGTCACGGACTAAGGTGCCCCCCATGGCTAGCTGGCTGTAAACCCTCACGGGCCAGGGTAACCCTCGCGGCTGCTGCCCGCCCTTCTGCCCTCACAGCCGCCCCACTGGGCGAGCCCGGGCGCTGAGGCCGCGGTGGCTGTGAGCGGGACCGCCGCCCCCACCTCGCCGCAGAAAATGCAAGTCAGCGGGCGGCTCCGCGGCCGAGCAGCGCCGCTCAAAAGTTTCGGGGGAGGCTCCGGGGCCGGCAGGCGCGGGCGGCGGCCCGCCGCGGGCGAGGGGCGGGAGCGGGGCTGGCAGCCGGGCCCCGGCGCCGGGGATGCAGCGCGGCCGGTCTCACCTCCTTCTGGCGCGGGTCCTGCGGGTAGACGTCGGGCGGCCCCAGGCGCGGCCGCTTGAGCGGTCTGTGCTCATAGCTGAGGAGCCCGAAGGCGGCCATGATCGCTCATGTTCGCCGGCGCAGCGGGCGGGCGCTGGAGCGGACTCCCTACTCCAGGGAGCAGCACTCGGCGGTTCGCCCCCCGCCGCGCCGGGGGCGGGCTACGCGGCTGCGGACAGCCGCGGGGGTGGCGTGCCTCGGCCCACTCCTCCCCGCTCCCCTTCGCTAGGCAGGTGCCGACTGGGCCGCCCGAGCCTTCACACAGCTGCACAGCGGCAGCCCCCGCGCTGCTCACCGCGCCAGGGTGATGACGGGGCCGAACGCCGCACCGTAGGCTGCGGCCGACAACCCCCGAGCTGCCCCGGGGGAACGGCGAGGAGGGGCTGGGCGCAGGAGGGCAGCACTGCCCACCCGGCCTGGTAGAGGGGAGGCGCCGGGCAGTCCTCTGCGGGGAGCGGAGCGGTTGGACGCTCTCCCTGAGGGCCCTTTAGCCGCAGGATGCGGCACCGGCGTGTCCACCCTGTCTATCGTCTGTCCCCTTCCTTAATACCGTTCATTTTAGCGGGTACATAATTCACTAGGTGAAAGAACCGCCCGCTGCGGGCGCGGCCGGTCCTCCCACGCCCCGGTGGCGAGGGGACCATGGCCCAGGAGAGGCGGCTTGGTCCCGCTCGGCTCCCGCCCCCCCTCTCCGCCGCTCTAAGGCGCAGCCCGCAACTCGGATTCCCAGAAGGAGCTTCACGTCCCGAGTACTCCGGCTTCAGAGGAGAAGGGCGCAGCAGAGCCTCACCAGTTTTCACCCACCCATCTCCCCGGGCACAGCCCCTCACTCTGCTCCAGCGGCGCAAGTCTGAGGAGCAAAGGGCAGCCGTTCCCTCCTGCTATACTGCCTGGGGTCTGAGAGATCCCGCTCCCATGGGTACCAAAACACTGTGGAGAGGCACTGTGCTGGTCGATCGGCAGTGATCATGTCCCTTTGGGATACAGCCTTGGGTGGCCATTGGGAGAGTCACTTGGACCATCTTCCATAAGCTGCACCTCCCGTCACAGGGCAAAGGGGAGACTCTGCTCCGTGGTTCCCAAAGGATGCTCACAGGGGCCAGTACCTACCACCCAAGAGGACCCACCAATCCCAGTGGATCAGCCAAGCACAGGAAACACGATGTCAACAGAGGCTGCAGTTTCTGATTAATGAATCTTAAAGCTTTAGAGTTCCTCCTTTTTCCACCGTGCAGGTGGATGTCTGTACTTGCCTATCTGCCTGCCCTAGCAGAGCATGGCTGCAGTCTCACAGCCTGCAGTTATTGCTCTGCTACAGAGAACACATTTCTCCCTCAGTATAGGTGCCGTATCCTTGGGTACAGGAGCGGAGGGTGCATTCTGCATTAACACTACAGCAAGCAACCATGAACACCTTCTTTTTCTCTCCTTTTTACCCCGTATTTGTGCCAGACTCCTTGTGCTGCATCTCTGGGACAGTACAAACACGAGCTACTTTGGAAGTACCAGATTTGATGTTTGCAATTAAGTATAAATAAAATTAACAGCAGCACTCTACAAATGAGTTTATGTTCAAATTTAGCATGGACAAGAGCAGGAAATACAGGCAAACCACATTTCTTTTGTCTCTAAGCAATTCTCTAATCAAACCATAGATAACTTGAGCTGAGGCTGAACATCTATTGCAATAGCAATAAAGTATGATAGTAATGCCCTACACTGACTCATAATTGTTAAATCTGTGCCACTTTTGGGTACTGAATTGCTTTTCATGCATGCTGCTGTGTTGCTCGCTAAAGGCAAGAATCAACAAGCCTGAGATCTCCAAACTTTAACATCCAACTCTGAGCTGCCTTCCTTGGCAGGTTTATCCGATGTTTGTATGTGATCCAAGGGCATGCTCAAAAGACCAGCTGTGTTTATCAGCTCTTTTTCTTTGCTCTGCAAGTAGATAAAACTGCTTTAGAGCTTTTCACAAGTTCCACTGGCATGCTAGATCAGTGTTGCGATCCCTGTCTTTGGAAAGATTACTATAATGCATATTTGAAGGTAGTATCACTATATTTTATTCCCAAGATTTTGTCAAACACATCTGGATATATTTGAACACACAGATCCCAGGTTTTTGGTTTGTTTGTGGTTTTTTTTGGTTTTGTTTGTTTGTTGGTGGGATTTTTTGTTGGTTTTTTGTTTGGGTTGGGTTTTTTTGTTGTTTTTTCTTTTTGTTTTTGTCATGCAGAATGGTCTGACAATCTCGGACATTATTGGGTGATTTACTAATGGATAATTATTTGCCTCACATGCTTTAGAAGAGGGAAGATGTTACAAAAAGCTGACAAAATTTCATTGAAGGATATCTTATTTCCTAAAACTGCCAGTCTTTAATGTCAGAGAGCATGAGCTTTTTTCCCTATACTTGTTTGATAAACACAGTGGGCTAGATACCAGGAAATACTATTTTAACCACCCAGAAAGCAACACTGTATTACTGTGCAAACACAAAGAGATCCTGTCAGATCCTTCCTTAATGTTCACTGCAGAATTGACAGCTAGAGTTAGAAAGGGACTTGTACCATCTGACAAGGCATACATACTGAATTGTTTTCAAAGAAATGCAGTCAGAACCTATAACTGACAATAACTGTTCCAAATAAACGCTACCTCAGGGCAAACTCCAAGGCAATTTTCCACTCTAATGTCTAGCTTGTCTGTGCATGGCACTATCTCTAGCCTGATTTCATCTCTGCTTACTTCACACCACCATCACTGCCTCCCCTACCACAAGATTCAGCGAAGCCCTCTTGGTGCTTCACCATCTTTCCTTTCCCGAGGGATTCTGAAACATTTTAACTCATTCATAAAACGATGTATTTTTCCATGGCATAAACTACTGTTCCATACAAACAGGCTACCAGAAAGCTGACTCTTGAAAAAAGTAGCACCAAAACAGATAAATGCAATTATTCCTCCCCCCCTCCCCCCATCACATTCTTCCTAGGACATCGTCACTTTTACATGCATATCTTCAAGTCTGTTCCTTTTGCTACTGTTGTGCTGGTAATAATCATACAGAAATAGTATAGTCCTTCAGGGAACAATAAATGCATTCCATTCAAGTATTCAAAATTATCTTTAAAAGTTAGCATTTTCCCAAACCTGTATGTATTCAGCACTGTGCACATGCAAGCTCTGTGGCAACGGACCCCAGTGATACCGCAGTGTGCCATCTTTTGTTTATGTATGATGATCACATCATGAACCACAAAAAAAAAGTCATTTGTCTGTTTTGTCTGTACACAGCCTTGTTCATTTTAGTTCCAAGGTCATCTGAAAACCTCTAGTTAAACCAGATTCAGTTTTTAAGCCTAACCGATATAATACCCTTAAATCACTTAAAGAGTATTCCTGCAATGGATATGCATCCAGTTAAACCACTTTCTAAATTGATCTGGTTAGGGAAAAAAAAAACAAAACAAACCAAAACAAAACAAACCTTGTGTTTGCTGAAATCACTGGCAGTCAGTTGGTTGATGCAGACACCTGTGCTCCTAGTCCTAACTGAGGCCCCAACAGTGCCACACTCCAGGGGATGGGTTATTTTGTGCCCATGACTGGCTTATGTGAAGAGTAAGGCCGGGCCCCCCCAGGGTTGCCCCTCCTGCATGAACCACAGGGAGACAGCATGCTGCAAGCATGGGGTTACAATGGGGGTCTTCTGTAAAGAAGTAAGAGAAAATGTGGTTGTGTATATTTGAAACCTGAACTTAAATGCCTGTCTGAACATCCTACACACCACAGCCAAAACAATGCAATATATTAACAGACATTCTGCCTTTGCCAGGGAATGCTGTGACAGGGAAAAGCAAGTGCCCAAATGCAACCAAATACTGCAGAGGGGGCCTCCTAGCTTAATGCGTTAACTGTGCTATTGCATTAGGAACAAACACCCACAAAAAAAGAAAAACACCCAAAAAAATAAAAATAACAGAGCAGCTCAGCATTACTAGCTTTAGAGGAAAACGTGGGAAAACAAAACTCTCTGAAAACTTCCTTTTCCAAGATAATCAGATGCGGCAGCCAAACCTGTCTCTGAGATCCCCCGTTTACCCTATTAGGCAGGGGGCTGGAAAGAGCAGAGCACTCGTCAAATTACAGAGATCTGTCATCTTAAACCCTTGTTATCAAATGACAGAAGGCAGTGAAACATTCTACAAACGACTCTGTTTTCCAGCTTGTTTTACAAGATCAGTGCACAAGCTAAAGCCATACAGAAGGGAACAAGGAAGAAGAACCTTTATAGCATCTTCCAGGAAGTGTGTGCATTGTAGAGGTCTGCAGCTGAAGCTCTCCAAGGAGAGAGCTCTAGCTGTGAGCACGGCTGGCTGGGTGCCTGGTCTCTCATTGGGAAGCTTGGCTGTTTGTCGTGCTGATGAAGAACTTGTCGCTGCCTTGCTGAAAGCTGCATCCCTTGGAGGACTCACACACCACCATGCCAGCCCAGCAGAAGAAAATTATCTTTTGCATAGCTGGGGTGCTGAGCTTTGCTTGTGCGCTGGGGACAGCGGCAGCCATCAGCACTCAGCTGTGGGTTAAGGGGACGATACTCTGCAAGACTGGAGCCCTGCTCGTCAACGCCACTGGCCAGGAGCTGGAGAAGTTCATTGGCGAAATCCAGTATGGGCTTCTGTATGGCGAGCGTGTGAGACAGTGTGGGCTCGGGGGGAGACCTTTCCAGTTTTCATGTGAGTAATAATAGCATTTGAATTATTTAGCACCACACTGCTGACAGCTAGGGGAGCAGAGAGATGCTGCCCCAGCATCCTCTTGCTCACACAGAGCCTAATGACCACAAAATATGCTAAAGCAAATGCTGCTGTTAGTGTTCTGATCTTCAGGTACAAATAATTTATTTTCTGATACTAGTAAAGTCACACTCAGATTTTCAAACAATCTAATTTTCAGTTACACAGCTGTCTACAGTGCAAGGCTTATACTAATACTTTAAAGAAGAGTATTCCTGGTTTTCAGTTAATCTCTTTCATCTTCCTGTGTATGTGTGTCAGTATTATGTCCTCTCTGCCATCATGAAAGAATGAACTAATCTAGCAGAATCTCATGAAAGAGTTAGGGCATAGAGCTGCATTAACTGGAGGAGCTGCTGGTTGATGCTAGCTGACATGTAGTCAGCAGTTCTGCAAGTCAAACTTGGTATCTGACATGCAGAATTTTATCAGAGATTGTTAGCAATGGTTTTATTTTACATATAATATAACGTATTCATCTTCAAGCATAAGATTAACAACAAAACAGTCAAATATAGTTTGTACATAGCAGCACATTAAACTGTTAATAACAACCGTTTGTTCTATGTACAGTACACAACCTGAAGTTACTACAGAACAGTTTAGAAGCATTCTGCTAAAACAGCACCAGTAAATTGCTAATATGAGTCATTTAAGGCAAGCTAATGTTACCAGATTAGGTATCAAATTGTTTATCATATAATATTTTTCCAAAGTAGTAGATCAAATTAATTTGCTATTAAAATTTTCCATCTCTAATTAAATTCCACTGCTAGTGTATTTATACAGATGAAGTTCTCTCCATCACTTTGTTTGCCACCACAGTGTGCAGATACTTGGCTATAGGCTGGGGTGAATTTTCAGAGGGGCAACTAAATCCCGAGGAATTAGTTTTCTGCTGTAGGTGAAATTGCTGTGAACTACAGCTGACAAAGCCACTAGCAATCAGCAGCTCTGTGACTGCCATTTGTCTGCGTTCCATACAGCAGTTCATATTGGCTTTGTGCACAAGGCAGGACTAAACCCAGCCACCCAGATAGCCCCCACACCAGAACAGCCACAGGTGAGAGCTCACTAGCTTCCCTTTCTAATAAATTTCTTTCCACATATTTGTTATTTAGATATTTGTAAACCATTTCATTGATGTGCTTTGCATTCAGGCTCTCATATGTGCATTTCATCTTGTTATGGCTGAACTATTTTAATATATTGCTAGTGTGATTGTAGCAGTCATTTCAAAAGAATTTTAATTTTGTGGGCAGTGTGAATTAATATTGCAGGTGCAAGAGAGAATACGAATGCACTGCTTATTTGTGATGATTTAATAATATCAATCATCATGTATTTTTAAACATCTCACAATGCTACATACAGGTAAGCCCTGGATCTGTGAAACTACTGCAGAGCGTTTTCAACCAGAAGTGCCCCAGGAGTATAGAGTTTGTTCTCACTATGGGCATACACTTTCTATCTACATTCACAGAAGGCTCATGTAACCAAGTTTTCCCATGCTTTCATTCACAAGTATATTTTTAAATAAGCATATAAACACAAACATGTAGAAGTTTGTGTTTATAAGAAATAACGTGAAGTATTTGATTACAGCTAAGCAGCCCACTTTGGAATGGTAAAAAAAAAAAATGCACAAACCCTGACTGTTCATACAGGACTGCAGAATCCTACTGCAGAGCACAATGTTAAAAATTAATTTCTTTAATATGAGTGCCAAACGTACATATTCAGAGAACTTCAAGGCTTTCAAAAGTTGCATAAAGGAGATTAAAAGAATAATTAAGTCTAGTAAACAGCACTGCTCTCATTTTCAGGCAGAGAAAATGATGTTTGAAGCACACGCTTTCATGCCTGTTCCCAGGATCTGGGATCAAGGCTGGATTTAACTTCATGCTGGAGACCCCTCGAGTCAGAAGTGTAGCTGCTGACAAGCCTGTGATGTAGCAATGTCTTTCCCCAGAGACAGCAGCCTTGCTCCCCACATCCTGGGTCACCAGGAAGCAGCAGACGATCACCTGCAGCAGCAGAGCTGGCAAGGCTGAAGCACTGGGCTCAGAAACACAGCCGCAGGGCCTTGGCCCACCTAAAACTGAAGCCAAGCTTATTTATTGGAGCATTCTTTTACCTTTTACTCTCCTTCCATACACAACAGGTATTAACAGTGAGATATTTCAGTAAGTCTTACAACATTACAAGCCCATCCTGTCAGTCTCATTTGCCTGCACTGGTATCCTTTATATAGCACTTTGAAAAGGTAACACAACAAGGTGATCTTTGGCATTGTCTGTATGTTCAATGAGACCTCTTACAGCTTAAATAATTTCACAAACCCAGTTGTACTGATCATGATGCTCCACTGGGCAGGCTTTGCCTCCACAGGCTTTTGCTGACAGCTGAGGGCGGAAGCATTGCTGTCCTCATAACTTGTTCTCAGATCATCTTTCATTTTATTTAGATTAAAAAGCAAACACAACAAATAGGATTTATATTTAGAAACAGTGATTGGGTGGATAGCAAAATATACTTCTACTGGAAGCATTCACTTCAGAGACCACTTAATGGAAGAGCTGGGCCACAGTCCCTGGGGCCACAGCAGACCTGGCCAGGCACAGGCAGCATGCTCAGGAACTCCCTGGGAGCGTCCCAAAAAGCAGAGCAACCCAATACAATATACACATGCATAGTGCAATGCACTGAAGTGCACTTTAGCATGTCTAAGAAAAGGCACAGAAAATAGACTAGATGATTTAGTTCTCTGTTTGCTCCCATTAAATGTTCCCCTCTGACCACTATATCTCTTTTAATTGTAAAATGAATTTGCTCTGCCAGCAAACCCAGTTCAGCTGAGGAAAGCCTTCTGCTTCATTTGCTCTTGCTGATTCTTGTCAGTTTCTGGGTCAGCAGTTCATTTTCTAAAGGTCGTTGGCATGCATACCTAACACAATTTCATTCATTATAATGAAGGAACATTTTTCTTTCTAGAAAACATAGCTGCTGGAATTAATTTTTCCTGATATGTCACATAATATTTTAATGGCAAACAACTATAAATGAAGGTGCCAAGGGAAAGATTCAGTACAATGCAGCAAAGTGTTTTTCTTAAAACAAAGAAAAATTGTTAAATACAGTTTTTCATGTTCTCCCAAAACATCAGGTGGCATTGTAAGAACTAACACTATTCCTTGTAGAAATTCTGCTCAGGCAGGGACTTTTCAGCCTTTTTGTTAGCTAGCCGAAATGATACAACTGTAAAATTGTACCTTATACCACATTAATAGTGTAAGTGCCTCTTATGTTTATAAATCCATTAAATATGTAATATAAAGTTCAATAAACACAACATATATATATGTTTTTATATATATAGTTTCTAAAGTATGATTTGTGTTCTATTAGAATGAGATGAGGAATTTAAGTACCAGTGGCCAGACTGGACAATCGGTAGTTGTCCTGGGTTCAGCAGTAGCAGTCATTTTTCTCCTCCTTGGTAGCGGGTGCAGTGCAGTGTTTTGACTTTCAGCTCGGGAGCAGAGCTGATAACAATGATGTTTTGGTTTGGCCAAGGACTTTGTGAGCCTCATGCTCTGCTAGGGAGGAGGGGAAGCCGGGAGGAAGCAGAGACAGGACACCTGACCCAAGCTAGCCAAAGAGGTATTCCATACCACAGCACGTCATGCCCAGGATGTAACTGGGAGTGAGCCAGAAGGGCTGGGAGACTGCGGGGTTGGAGGAGGTATCGGTCAGTGCTTGGTCTGGCTGGGGGGGCGAGTTATCGGTTGGCTGGTGGTGAGGTGTTGTATTCTCTTCCCTTGTTATTTCCTTTATCATTATTATTATTATTGGTGGTAGCAGTAGTGATTTGTGTTATACCTTAGTTACTAAACTGTTCTTATCTCAACCCAGGGGAGTTGCATTCTTTTGATTCTCCTCTCTGTCCCTCCAGGAGTAGGGTGAGGGCAAGAAGGGGGAGAAGTGAGTGAACAAGCTATCTGACTGGGTTTAAACCACTACAGTTCTTTTTGGCGCCCAACGTGGGGCACGAACCCACGACCCTGAGATTAAGAGTCTCATGCACTACCAACTGAGCTAGCCGGGCTGACAACAATCAAGACACACCCCCCCCCCCCCCCCCCCACTGTCGTGATTTAATACCTCCTCCAACCCCGCAGTCTCCCAGCCCTTCTGGCTCACTCCCAGTTACATCCTGGGCATGACGTGCTGTGGTATGGAATACCTCTTTGGCTAGCTTGGGTCAGGTGTCCTGTCTCTGCTTCCTCCCGGCTTTCCCTCCTCCCTGGCAGAGCATGAGGCTCACAAAGTCCTTGGCCAAACCAAAACATCATTGTTATCAGCTCTGTTCCCGAGCTGAAAGTCAAAACACTGCACTGCACCCGCTACCAAGGAGGAGAAAAATGACTGCTACTGCTGAACCCAGGACATTAGTCATCAGTAATCCTGTGCCTGGTGAGGGTCCTTGGGCCATCGTCCTCCGTGAGCACTTGGTGCCTCTCTCTGCTCCCAATTGCCACCACCAATGCAAAAGGTGATATTTAACAGGGGTTAAAGAACAGTTTATAAACATTTGCTTCAATTTCCCTTTTGTTTAACCAGGCAGATAAATGAGCTTGACACTACCTTACCTGCTTCACCATGTTCACTGCATGGCAAGCTGCAGAATTGTTTGCTGGCAAACATTTTACGACGTAAAGTAATTTATGCGAGACTTTTTTCAGTCTCAGCATATTACAGCTGCAGTGAGGCAGTGCCAAGGCATTATTACCCCCACTTTAATTGTGCCCCTGTGGATCACGAGCAGTTAAGTGTTTTTAATGATTCCTTCTAAAATACCCATTGTTGCCAAACAAAAATGAATGATTAAAAATTATTCTGTCATACTGAGCCTGATCGACTATCCCCTCGTGCCCAGCTAAGTAGGATCACATTTTGAAAGAGTAGCTAAAAAGATGTATAAAAATGTCTAAAATAAAGCATTCTTAAATCTTCATATAAATAGTGGCACATAGCGGGGACCCAGCATAGCCCTCAGTCCATCAGGCACCAGTCGCTGACTCCAAAAGCAAAGATGCCTATTCCATTTGGATACTGCTTCCCACTGCTGCAGTCACGAGCCTCTCTGTAGGCTTTTATGGGGCAGCCACTAGGAAAAAAAAGAGATAGTGACAAATGCAGCTGATGAAAAAGTGTCCAGCTTTTGGAAACTTAAAATCATACAGCATGTGGTAAAAGCGTTGCATTAACTGTGTAACACATGCAGTACTCACAGCTTTCCTGCAGACAACTGGCATCTTGCCTGATGGCAGGGCATAGCACTGGCTTTCACATCTGTACCCTCATTTTACGTGTTTTCTCTTATTTTGTCTCAGTAACCCGTTTTTTTATTGTAAGATTTCTCTATTTCTTCTTATTGATTTACCGTCTTACCTTTTTGGCCTTGGGCTTCTAGACACAAAACATTCCACAAGTGTTTTATTTGGGGAAATACAGAGGAGAAAATTTTGATTTTAGAAAATGTGCTTATTCTCTCAAAATCTCATTCAGTTTATTGCAAATAACTCTTGGGTAAACTTTATCAATTTCTCCCTCTTTACTATCATATTTCATTTTAAGAATAATTGAAGATATTAATGTATGTACATAATATATAGAAGAGATATGAAATGTATCTCTCCTGTTTTTAAGGATTTTTATCAAAAATACTTTTTCTATTTTCTAAAATTAGAAAATTGCCAAAGGCTAGGAGCTAAGAAACCCCTGATCCTTTTAGGTGTCTATGTGTCTCTGGCAATAACTGTTGGTGGATTTTCACAGGGAGTCTCTGTACAATAAACAACTTCACATGTTACCTTCCCTGGATAGCGAACATTCCTGGAACCTTGAGCATCTCCCACCCACATGTAGTACACAACACATTTAACCTTCCAGTATGTTGGCATTGCAGCTCTACTAATGATAACAAAACATAGACCTTTTAACTTACAGATTGTTTGCTTAAGGTTTTCAGAAAACACCCACATATTTTTTGGGTATACACATACCAAACCAACACTGAATATTTGTATTAATCGAAGTGGTGGAATCCCTGCTCTGAAATAGGAAGGCAATCAGCATCCCAGCCAGGAGCAACTCTTTGCTTCCCTCGCAGATGAAGGGACAAGCCCTAACATCTGTGCGCTTGAGGCACATGAGATGTAAGCAAACAGCACACACTACTTCAAACCAACAATGTTTGAGGCGGATGGCATCCCGCACCATGTACAGGGGAAAATGGTGCACAGGGAATTACCCTTGGGAAGGGAAGGAGAGGCTTTCCCTAAACTGGTCTCTGTCTCCTGGCCAGTCTACAATTCTGAGCTTCACAAAATGCTTCTGCCTCCACACATCCATGAAAACCTGTTTCTAGTAACTTCATTTTCATCTTCAGTTACATTTCAAAGAGCACAACTTAAAATAATTACCACAAAGCAGTAAGAAATTCCTGGCCTGACTCTGAAACAACTTTGCTTAATGTGTATAATAACATTTTGTTCATTTTGTTTTTAGTTTTTCCAGATTTGCTCAAAATTATCCCTGCAAGTATCCATGTTAGTGTCATTCTCTTCTGTATAGTACTGATCATCTTTGCTCTGGTGGGAGCAGGTTTCTTCATGTTCAATGCTTTTGGCAGCCCATATGAAACTCTGCATGGTCCTGTTGGGTTGTACCTCTGGAGCTTCATTGCATGTAAGTACCACCCCGCCGTTGGCCTACCAGGCTGGTGCTGGTCCATGTGTGCCACTTATAACGGCCAATTATTGACATATGAGAGCAATATTACAAACCATGCCTGCATTGATTTCAAGCTGGCAAAAAAAAGCTAGGCAGGAAAATAAATGATTTAGCTGTATCAAAACATGTTTTTTCCAAATTGGAGTTAAGAGATAAAATGCTGAAAACCTCAGCAAGGGCAGGCAGCCACAGGAAGCATGGCAGGCAGCCTGGACACCTCTGGCCCTTCTGCATAGGCTGGCAGAAAAAGGGGATGGTGCCCACAAGCCCCATGGACCCAGAGGTGTGGCTGCATCTTGAATCCACAGCATATGGTCAGAACTGGGAAGAGCACCAGAGAGGGGGAAGAGAGGAAAAAAAAAGATGAAAAAAAGTCAGAGATGTACCTGCTCACATTCACCTTGATGGGAGGTTTTCAGCTGGGTAAGCAAGATCACCACTTACACCAGCAAGATTTTCCCAAGGAAGGAAGGGGCTGAAAAGCAGAGAGAGAGAGAGACTGAGAGCAACTAGCTGAAAAAGTAGTGTCTGAAAAACACTGCCAGAAGGAATAACAGACCGTCCCAGTCCCTCTGTCACTGAGAGAGGGTAAAGCCCATTCTCTGCATTGCTGGCTTGGCTGACAAGATGACTTACAATTACTTTACGAGATATGACATATTACAATCATAATTTGATACAGGACTTAGGTACATATTTAATTTTAAACACACAGACACTTCAGTTACATCCAGTGAAACAATGAGCAGGTTAAAGCTGAAAAAGAGCACAGATGCTTTGCTGGATCAGGGCCCTAAAGCAGCCATGCTAAAAATTGCTGGTCCTAAGCCAACTTCAATTTAAAAAGCTTACCAATTTCAATAGCTGTTCACTTGGATTCCCACTAAGTTACAGTGGCCATAACAACACTATCAATATAGTATTTGGTTGTGACATACAACATGTGGCCTTGTCAAGATAATTAACACCTCCCCCTCTTTTTCAGGTTCCTGTGGGTGTCTCATTATGATTCTATTCTCGGCAGAAGTGAAAATCCACCACCTTTCAGAGAAAATTGCTAATTTCAAAGAGGGAAGTTTTATATTCAAGACCCACACTGAAAAGTTTGCAAATTCATTCTGGATCATCCTGGTTTGCTCCCTGTTGCAATTTCTGAATGGCTTGCTAATACGATTTGCTGGATTTGAATTTCCCTTTTCAAAATCAAAAGATTCAGGGACCATCACTGGAGCAGCTGACCTGATGTATTAGAATTACATCATTTAAAAACATTTCAAGCAAAGCGGTCCATCACTATGATATTCAACAGCCACCAGATATAATAACTTTTAAAATATTTCTTTAGAGCTAGCAATTTACAAGTGAAGGATTCAAACAAACATCAATATGGCATATGCAATAAAGAAAAGTCATGCTATTTGGTAATCTAGATCAAAACACTTTCTCTTTCTTAAGGTAAGACTTTACCAAGACATTTGCCTTTTTTTACCAGTAAGATCTTTGAAAAGTAGTTGGTGTGAAGAAAACCAGGAACACCAATAGCATTGAACTAGATCTGGAAACTAAAACAAATGGGTTGCAAATAGAGGCACACCAGCAGCAACACTGCTATCACCAGCAGCAGTTCTGCCCTTTAGCCCTTGTGAAGGTTTCAGATGCAGTGGTTACCGCACACTCCCCATGTTGCACTACGCACTCCCCAAGCCCCAGTCAATATAAGGAACCCTGCCCAGAAAATAGCCCTACAATCCGTCTCTCATTAAACAATACAAATAAACATAGCCAAGACCTTTGGCAAAGAGCAGCAATGGAGTAACACAACAGACAGGCTTACAAGGCATGCTACAGCTCAGCAGAGACTGACAAAGAAACAAGTGAGGTTCTGTACTTCAGGGCATGCAGGAAGCCAGACTGGATGAACACACCAGCCCTTGCACCCTTAAACTTCTGCAAGTCAGTTGAAGCTATCAGACTGCTCATCCCAGGTACAGCTAAGCCATCCCAGTCATAGATACATCAAAAGAGCATTATACCACCAAACACTACCTCCATGGGACTATGTGGGTACTTTGGAGATGAGTCACTCCTTGCAGGATACAGAAACAACATCTAGAGCAGACAGAAGTGGAGGTACCCAAAGTAAGAGCCTCTGTCCAAGCTGCCCATTTATCTGCAAGAGCTGCAGCTCCTGCACAGCTGTGGGTGAGGAGCAATCCCACCCTGCATCTGCCCCAGCACCTGTGGAAATGGTCATCCTCCAGATCATGTTGGGATTCACTTCACAAAACCATACGCTTTGATGACCTTACTGACTTCTCTGTCATCTCTTATACTTTTACTATGAATATCAAAACATTGCTGGGGTTTCTCGGTGAAAGGTTTGTCAACTACACCCATACTTCCCAAACCCTTTCACAAAGAAGCTCTGCCTCCCCATGTGGTACCGTATCTCCCTAGATTTTAACAACATGTAAGGGCTACTGCAACATTTTAAATAATTTTCTTCTGATTTATATGCATATTCTTCTCAATGTATCTTCTTAAAGCATAAAATATAATACATCTCATGGTATTGTTTATTATATAGCAAATAATGAAGAGTAATGTTTCATCCTTCTTGTTTCTTATGTTTCATGAAGTGCTCTGCTTGGCAGCAGTCAGCAGGGTATGGGATCAGACACACAGGCTGCTCATACGTGTGTGTCTTTCTGAGTGATACTTGCAAGTCCTTGAAGAAGCTGGTTTGTATGTCTAAAATGTAGAACTGCCCAGACCTGCCTCAGCACAGAAGATAAACCTGTTCCCGTCCCTTTTGCTGTGCAGGAGAGAGCAGGGGTTCAGGAGTTTTCACAGGGGATCACTTTTCCCAAAGAGCCCGGCTCCACTGCTCCCCCTATGTCCCACCCCACTCACAAACCTGAGGCCAGCTGTTATATTTATCCATATCCATTTCCAAAGGCGAACATAAAAACTTCTTACTGGCAAAATAAAACTGAGGCGATATTTGTGTGTTTGACCTGCTGAAAGTAACGTTTAAGGTGAGTATGACCTGCTCAGCTTGTGCTTCTGGGTGAGCACCAGCATGTGCCCTGTAATCAGCGGAAGAAGTTTTACCGTTTAATTTCTACTACCATAGTTCATGATCAAATAAATAAATAAATAAATTTATAGCAAAGGGAAAAATATCTAAATATATTTTGAAGATTCTTGAAAAAACAGATATTTTCATATCCTAATAAAAAGTTAGTAGGCACATGCATCTGTATGTGTGCCTGCATGCAGTTTGCATATATATAAATACAAACATATATAATATATATATTGGTTTATGCATACAAGTGTTTTTAACAGGCTTAGACTACTAGCCCACTATGCTGGTGTAGGGGTGAACACCAAACACTGAAACTCAGAGACCCCCAGTCGGTGCCTTCTCCCAGACTGAAAGAGAACAAACCACGAGATTTCCATGACCCTGGCAGCAGGAAAATGGGCCTGACCCATACCCCTAAATGCCAGTCTTGCTACAGGAAGCGAGAGAAGTCAGAGGAACACCAGTGCATAGGTTTCGCATTGTCTTGTCTCTCCAGTGAATTTGCTCAACTTTACAGACATCTCCTAAGTCGGATTTTTTTTTTTTCATTGAGCTAGACACTTCCCACCCAGCCCTCACAGCCCAGACCCCATCCTGCTTCTGATCAGCCTGCACAGGGGGAGCTGCAACCCTGCAGCTGGAAAATCCCTCCCTGCTCCTGCACCAAGACCTTGCAGAGCAGACACATTGCTGTGGCCAGCTTCAGACAGCTTTCCGTCTGCATTAAACATTGACACTGCTTACACAGCAAGCAAAAAAACACAGACTGTGACAGGCTTTCATGAAAGTTTAATTGCGTTGTGGCAGTGGAAGCTGGTAGAGGGGATTCGGGTGCCTGAAGAAGAGCCGCTCCCTGAGCAGCCCCAGTGCCCACATCCCTTCGCATCACCCTGAGCACGATGGGTGACCAGGAAGCTGAGCACACTGTGCCACAGACAGAGATTCAGGTGATCGCCAGCAAAATTTCAGATCTAAACAAATGGAGAAATGTTTTCAGTTTCCATAGGTAAGATTTATAGTCTGCTTCATCATCATGTTTTAATTCCAGGTGTTTTCTTAATATCATATTTTAAATTATGCTTTATTACAACACTTACATGACCACGGAAAAAAGGTTTTAATGTACTCAGGAATGCAAGTACTACAGCTTTTTCTCTTCCTTTCTTTGTGGTTTCTTTTCTAGCTGGTCTCCTGTTTCTTCACATGCTAGCAATGCCTCTGTTGTTGGTTTTGGGGTTTGGTTTTTGTTCTGTTTTTTTTTAATTTGTATTTTATTTTCCCTTTTCAGTTTGGAAATCAGCAATTCAACTTATCAGGTAACTGCTTCTCTAAAAGTTAACATCTTGTATTTGTCTAGTGGTTTTTGTGACTGTTCCACCAGATTAGCATAGGGAGGAAATTGCACATCTATATATGCAGGACAGCAGTCAGTCTTTATGGATATTTATTTCTTATGCTCCTCCTTTAAGAAACAGGCATTTTCTACAGATATTTTAAAGGAATGTCTTGTCTTCCTGATCTAAATCGACGTGTCAGAGTAGCCCAACATAAATTAACCTTTCTATCTAAAAGTAACAGTTTTCATGGTCAGTTTTGGAACACAGAAAAACAGGGTAACATTATGAAATTTCTGAAATAGAAATATTTGGAGAACCTGCTGTGTCTTTAGGTTGGAAAGCACTGAAGTTTATTCCCCGTAATTCAGACAAACACAACATTACTATGTACTCAAATCATTGGCTTGCAAGGATCTATTTGTAATGTTTGCAAAAAGCTGGAGGTCTGTCCTGGTTTAACCCCATCTGGCAACTAAGTATCACTAATAATCAGCATTACTCTCAGACTAAAGCCAAAACACAGCACTGTACCAGCTACTAGGAAGAAAATTAATTCTATCCCAGCTGAAACCAGGATAAGGTCAAACATACTGATGCTCCCTGGCAGCACATACTCCCCTTCCCTGCCTCTCCACAAGCCAATCCCAGTAGAGTACTGAAGGGGGTAACTTTCAGGGCATGGAGGCAGCAGTTATGGCATGACTCCCTGTCTGCTCCTCTCTCTGTCCAGCAAGACGATGGCAACACTGGCAATGGAGTACCTGGAGCCAGAGAGCCCTTAGGCCTGCAGCTGCCGGTGCCTCTGCCCCGTTCCGCCATCCCTGAGCCCCTACTGACCTCTCCAGATGCAGGCGGCCAGCCCATCTCCTTGGAAATGGCAATGGTGAGCAGGCCTGCTGAGTTACGCATGAGCTGTAATATAATCTCATTAAAACAAAGAGACTCAGGAACCTTATCTGGCATTGTGGGAGGCTCAGCATATTGCTGGGCTGAAGGCTGTAGCCTTCTGTTAGCTGTAACAGAAGTATGTAACAGTAATGACTTATTTATGAAACTTTGAGAGAACATGGTTGCAACACAACCTGTGAACAGGTATACTATAATTCTCATTAGATAATAGGTCAAATGACAAAGTGTAATGTTTCCCTGCTCTTTGGTGCTTTCTTATCGAATAGCTTCAGAATGGGAGGCAGGAATTCAGGAGATCAGTGAGAAATTTCCACTCTCACTCAAATACCTGGGTTTTAGAACACTAGTGCATCCAAATGTAAAGTATTTACATAACTGTTGTGGTTTAAACCCTAGCCAGACTGCTTGTTCACTCACTCCCACTGAGTGGTGCCGGGCTGAGAGCAATCGAGGCCCCCCCCCCCCCCGGGGCTCTCCCCTTCCCCGCTCCCAGAGGAACAGGGAGGAGGATCGAAAGAGTGCAACTCCCACAGGTTGAGACAAGAACAGTCCAGCAACCAATGTACAACACAAATCACCACCGCTACCACCAACGACAACAATGATAAGAGAAAATAACAAGGGAAGAGAATACAGTACCACTGGCCAAGAAACGAGTCCCACCTGGAAGCCCGTGTCCTTCTGTTTAAAAAAACGTTGATGCTTAACAATCAGAATCTTCAAACTGAGCTATTTAGTGTGAAATCCTGCTCTGAAAAATGACTGCGCAATGATAAGAACATCTTTCTCCCTTGTGTATGACAGTTTATTGTATGGTGGGGCTTCTTTGGCATGCACCACCTCCTCCTCTGGTGACATTCCGAAATCTTTGCCCTCTGTCCAGTCCATGATGACTTCTAGAATGCCTGGATGACTGGGATTTCCTATTTGAGTTCATTGTGTAATTAGTGCAGCGCATTTACTCCATGTAGCATCAGTTGCATGATGTGTAGAGGAGACCCTGCCTTTGAACATCCAGCCCAGCACGGGCAGCCAGGGTGCCAGGAGGAGCTGTGCTTCAGTGCCAATCACTTCCGAAGCAGCTCGAACCCCTTCATAAGCTGCCAGTAACTCTTTCTCATTTGGGGTACAGCTGGCCTCAGAGTCTTTGTATCCCCAACTCCAAAAGCCGAGGGGTCAACCTCGAGTCTCCCCTGGAGCTTTCTGCCAGAGGCTCCAGGTAGGACCGTTCTCCCCAGCTGCAGTGTACAGCACATTTTTTACATCTGGCCCGGTCCGGACTGGTCCAAGGGCTACTGCGTGAACTATCCTGCATTTAATTTGCTCAAAGGCTTGTTGTTGCTCAGGGCCCCATTTAAAATCATTCTTCTTCCGGGTCACAAGGTGCCCAATGTGGGGCAATTGTACTTCCCAGGATTGTTTGAAATGCTGAGAGGAGTGACTACATTAAGCACAAACATCACCTTTGCTTTGTGGGGCCTGATTCTCGGTAGACAGCTTTACACTGCTCTGGCTGTGAGCATATGCACTGACCTTGTATCCCAAGGCCCCTCTGATGCTGACAAAGCCAGGATGTGAAGGGGGCTGAACCCAGCCTGTCTTTCTCCTCTTCAACAGGAGCTGCGGAAGCTGCTATTTGGAAATGTGCTCCAGCTCTTCAGCTGTGAATGGGCAAAAGCATGTTTCAGGTTTCGTGAGCCATACTCTGACCTGGCCTATGCTTTGGAGACAGAAAAGGTAAGTATTTCAGCCCAGCAACCTGCATCATCTCCTCAGTGTCTCAGCCACTAACAGGAGCTGGCAGTCAGTGCTGGGTGTCTCAGGAGTGTCCATGCCTGGTCCCCATGTCCTGCAAGCCTGCACCCTCCACATCTGCACCCCATGCCTGTACCCTGCGCTCTGCACACCTGCATGCCATGCTTGCACCTCACGCTCTGCATGCCCACACCCCATATTTTGCATGCCTGCAACTGCACACTCTCCACATCTGCACCCTGCACTCTGCACGCCTGCACCTTACACTCTGCATGTCTGCCCACTGAGCTTTCTCCACAGGCAGACTGTGGGGGCTTCCAACCACAGCCATGCTCCACGGCCATCTTGAGCAAGCCTCCAGCTGCCCTCGCAGTGGCAACTGAAGCGTGTCTGGGAGTGGGATGAACTGTTCTGATTCAGCAGCACAATGCATACACAAGCTTTAAATATCACGGTATTAAATGCTTCCAAGGTGAAGGCTCAATAGAGAAGCAGTGGGTTGTTGCAGGTAGGCACGAATAAGCAGTATCTGCCTGTTTCTTTTGGGGTAGAGTTACGTACTTCTTTCTACCCCACCTGGAAATCAAACAGGTGAATTTACCTACATTTTCAAGAGGGAGGTTTTCTTCTTCCTTATTTACCACCATAATACTGACCCCCCAAAAAGCAGAAGACTAAGATACATGCTTAAAATTGCAAACACCTTTAATCCACCAGGAAGTTAACATGCTCTTACAAATGCAGGTGAAACTCTGAGTTCAGAGGCTCTGTGACTGCAGAGAGGATGACAGCCCTGACGTGAGGCACCAGCACAATGAGGAGCAGGCATGGCCACCCTCGTGCATGGCCTCATGTCAGGCCCATGCTGCCTTGAGATCCTGGTCCCTTTGCTGAGAGGCTGGAGGAGAGAGAAAACAAGCCGTGGTGCTTCTAGGCACATGTGGCATGTGGGGCTGAGAGCCCTTCCCTGCAGCTCTGGTGCTGCAAGGGAAGGACCCCTGCCTAGGACCTGCCCTCCCCATAGGCACACAGCCAGGGCCACCCTGGAGTCTTTTCTTGTGTGAAGGTTTCTTGGGTATAGGCACATAAGATCTTTTTCAATTTGCTTTTCTATTTATCTCAGGAGCTGTCAGTAGCACTTCTGAATTCCCATGGAGAAAAGAAAAAAACTCTCCTAACAGTGGTATTGGGATGGCTCACATTGACCAGGGGTTGCGGTGATTTCCAGATGGACACAGCAGGAGCTAGTTCAGGCCCCTCAGCACTAGGGAGTGTCATCTTTTTGTTTCTAGGGGGGAGCAAGAGCCATTCTGATGGCTGTACAAGCATACATCATCAAATACCTGCTCTTCATAAGAACCACAGAATACACTCACCTGGAAAGGTAAGAAGCTGAGCCTTCCCCTGGGACATACGGAAACTATTTTCTTGCATTATTTGAACTGAGACAGACTAGCACCAGCCCCTAGGTTTAACTGAACTAGACATATGCTCAGGTTTGGAGCTAAAGGTGGGGATTTGCACCCAGGAGAAAAGCCTCATCTGACTCCAGACAAGGCTTTTCCCCCAAAAGAGAGTTGTTTTTTGTAACAATGGTGCTTGCTCCCTTGTCCCACTCCCTGGCACCATGGTCACAGCCTATGGCAGCACATGGATAACATTAGTGCTGCACAGCTGCCCCACACCATGGGCAGCACTGGGAGGGAAGGTAAAGCTCAGTTTTTGGTACTGGGATACCCGCATGGGACCCCCAGAGCCAGGATGAAACCCCCATGGCATGGCACACATGTTGCTCCCAGCACATGGGAAGCATATCCTTACAAGTAGCAGCAACAGCACCAAGCAAAAAGTGGAAATTTCAAGGACAATGGGCACTTGCTGTGGCTTCACAGTCCTCACAGACACCAGATAGGCAGGGCAGGGCCTCTGAGGTTCAATCCAGCCCCTGCTGAGAAGGGCCCTATTCACACTCAAGGTCAACTCCAGGACTGGGGGGTCTGTCAAAATCCCCAAGGATGGACCCTTGGCACAGACCTCCTGGACCCATCTTCTCTGCCGCATGCCTCTGCCTCCTACACTGCAGGCTGTGTAGGGTAAGCCGGCAGGAGCAAGGGGAGGCGCTGGCAGCTGCCCTGGCAGACACCCTGTGGGCAGCAGGAGGAGGTGGGAGAGCCGTGATCTGCCTCGTCACTGCAGCCATCCATGTGGTGCCCAGCAGCGACTACAAAGCCGACAACTTCACAGAAAGAGTGAGTACGAAAATGTCTCTTGCAAACGGGATTTTCTTTAAAGAAATTTTTAATTTTAATTAAATTCTCCTGAAATTTTTAAATCAAGAAACAAAATCTCAGAAACCTGTTCCCTAAGTTATGGTGTGGCACAGACTGTGAACACTTTGGACCCATGTCCCAGCTGCAGCCTGTGAGACACCTCTGCTTCCTTGTAGAGGCTTTAGGTGAGCAGAGGGGCTGCTGTTCCCTTTCATTAAAGGCTGAATTGTCTTCTCTCACAAAAAGGGGAAAACAGTTAATGTAAAGCTGTTCTTCTAACTCTTTGTATAGAGCTGAACTCCTCGGTTTTGGAGGCAGCAGAGTAGAATCATGCACCATTCTTTCATTTGTCTAAAGGAAACACTGGCTTAAAAAGCTCAGCTGTTTGATATAATTAACGCCTCCTTTACGACATCTTCACCAACCTTCCTGCCCAACAGATCCATCTGTTTGAGTTCTCTGAGAAAGCAGCAGCTCAGGAGTTTATCCTTGGCCATATAAACTGTGTAAGTATGGGCTGGATATTAGCTTTATTCTGACTTATTTTGTTGCTTGTGTACATTTTATTTCCCATTCAAAAGCAGACCTTATGGATACCAATAGTGCTGCCTTCAGGCAGTTATTCCATAAATCATTTCTAGCCTTTCCTACGGGAAATGATCCTGCTCCCACTAAAATCCGCACACTTTACCCATCAATTTCAGCTCTTCCAATCCACAAACACCAGGCAAACAGAGACATCTTGCACATTACTTAAATATATAATACAGTTTCTTGCAAATACTGTTTTTTTAGCAAAAATCTGGGGGAAAAGTGTACAAGACCAGTTAAGCCACTAACTGGAAGTTTCATCTTTCCTTTCTTTATCCTGTTCCTATTCATCAAAATTAGTTATAAAATCTTTCTGGAGTAACATTTTATTCATTTAGCTCAACACACTCACCTCAGGTTGTATTGAAGCAGATGAACTGTTTCGATTAAACATCACATACCTGTAATTCACACCCTGTGATTACTTCTTTTTCCAGTTCAAAGACGAACAAAGTCATGGAGTGATCCTTTTTTTATACAGTTTACTTTTCTCGAGGACACTTGAAAGGTATATTTAATTTTTTACACTTTTTCCTCTAATTTAGTTACATCTTCTGATGTCTTTTCCTTGTTTTACTTCAATGTCCATTCTCAGTTGAATGTGAAAAAGCAGGGACAGAAGCAGACACTGGTGGCTGTGTTTTGCAGATGCAAATACAGTACACCCTGAGTATCTGCACGTCCAGGAGGGCAGCAGAGAGGAGAGAAACCCTTTGCAAACACAGCAAAACAAATGCTCTGTGTAAACCTGGGAGTTATCTCACTGACAGCAACCATCACCTTCACAGTCAATTACACTTACACAGGAAAATCACAAGTGCATTTAAAAAGGGAAAAAATCTGCCAGTGTGACTGTGCTGGCAGAGGTGCCTGATAGGGTCTTTCTAAACCCAGCACAACTAGATTTGGGTAATAATGCTTTAGAAAGGTACACCTAATGCTTTAGAAAGAGACATATTTATTCCAATATAAGACATGACTCATATTAATGTGACACTATGACAGCTACTCTAGCAAAAAATTGCACCACTACTTCAAATCGTTGTGCTCAGGCTATGCCTGGGTTGTAACCAAGGCCTTTCAGCAGAAATCGCACCAAGGGACACCCTGGCTCTGTCTGCAGGGGTGTGAATCTGACACTAGATTTGGGTTTTAAGAGGAAGAGATCTGAAGCACAAGAGCTCCGACTGAACATAGAGCTGCTGTGTCAGGACAGCATTGCTGTGCCCACAGCACAGAGAAATAACGGAGTCTGTGGAATTTCTTCCTGTTTCCTGTTAATCAGACAGTGAGGTACAGCACTCACCTCAGGCACTGATCCAGGTGCTACTGTAACACTTTGTGTTTGGTGTTACAGGGTCCGAGAAGACTTAGACGGCACAGCAACTCCTCTGTTGAAATGCAGTTTTGGAAACATTACCTGTACACAGGTAAGATTAGCCTCATTTCTCCACTTTTTTTTTTTATTTTTTAATTTTATTATTCCTACATTTGATTTAGGAAAAAATTCTCACTTGTTAATCCAAGGGGGGATAAAGGCGAGTGTATGGTAATAGAAAAATATATTTATAATTTTAATCATGACCATCCATTTTAGAAATGGATAATAAGAAAGCCACAGGAGACCTGGCATTCCTCTGCTCATGACAGACATGACAGAGCTGGCAGTGGGACACCAGCTCCCTGTTGTGGAAGAGTCAGGCACTTCACTCATAAAAGCAACGATACACCTTATTGGCTTGGTGTCTCAGACTTGGCCAACAGCAGTTTATGTCCAAAGGAATATATATGTATATTTTATGTATATATTTATATATATATATATATGTACACACACATAATCCTTTCTATCACTTGGGCAAGATTTCAAAGTTTTGCATGCTATTAGTCACCATCACAGAGGCCCACAAAACTGACTTAGGTAGGTTACAAGCTTGAAAGAATATTTATTCTAATAAAAAATAATTTAATGCTCCAACATTAGTAAATTACAGGTCCTACATGCCAAGTGGAATCAAATACTACATGACTTAAAGTTAAGTTTTGCAGGGAATAAAACCAAAAATGCATTTCACTCACCAGTCAAGATGAGGGCCTTCAACCTCAGAGAGTTGCCTCAGGCAGTGTCCTGACCCAAAGGGAGAGTCCTCGACTGCAGACCCACTGCTCTGAGGAGAACCGACTCAACTCTTGCCCTGCAGAAGGGTCCCATTTAGAAGTAGAATATGATCTATGGTAAAAATATGGTCTGAGGGCTCTTCGCTTTTGCCTAAAGTGCAGGTCTAGCAATGGCCAGTTATACAACAGCCAGCTGTACAACCCTGTTGTGACCAAAATCACCAGATTTTGTGGTTACCTGAGCCAGACCAAAGCCAGCAGATATCTGTAAGCACTAGCAGATATGGTTTTATATTTTACTGGAGACCAGAGTAAGCAGAGATATTTATTAGGAAGTATTGTGGCTCAACGATTCACCCCTCAGGTGGGTGCAGCTGCCACACCACCATTTTGTGAAGGGCATTTGCTCTGCTGCCTCACAGCATGACACAGGCTGTTTCCTTGCAGGCCGTGCTCAGCCTCCTCCTAACAGGACGAGCAAACCCGCATGAGCTTGATGGCAGCCAGGAGCTGGGGCCCAGAGGGGAGGGCATCGAGGCATGGCAGCAGCGGGGCCCGGTGGGCTACCTGCACTGGAGCAGGGCACAGGCAGAGCGGCAGGTGAGAGCTGGCAAGGCCTGTGGCTGGAAGGCACATACCTGATGTCCACACACCAAAGTTTTGGGAACAAAGGCCATGTTCAATGCAAGGCTCTACTCTCTCTCCCCAGGTGTGCCCCAGGCTGAGAACACCCCGTCTGCCCATCTGGCTGTGCAGCATCACTGGGAGGCACAGCATTCTCTTTGGCACTGACAGCCAAATCCTCTCTGACTGGAAAAGGGAGAAAGTCTTCCACCTGTACTTCTACAATGGGCAGCTGGAGCAGACAAAAACAGCCCACCTAACTATAGGTATGCACCCGAGCTTACCATGGAGGATATGAGGTATGGATGTCACATACAGACCATGCATAGAACTGTATATGTGTAGAGCTAGGCTGGTCTACTTACACATACAATTCAATGTTCTGTGTTTAACATACATACACATAAACTATATATATTATATTAACCGTTCATGGAACGTGAGAAATCTATTCCAAACAACAATATAAAAAGACACAAGCAAAAACCTGGCTTTGACAGGACTGTGACCATTTCGGAAGGGGTAATGCTCTCAAGCATGTGGCCCATTGCTCAGAAGAGCTATAGAAGTATTTGTTATAGAAGTAATAACTCCCAAGTCCCTGTGTAAATTCTGGTTGGCCGGCACCCCTCCCCAGCCCACAGCTGGGCACAGCAGATGCTCAGCACTGAGTGAAGCTGAGGTCATGCTGTTCCCCAGTGCCAGGGGCTGAGCAGGGCTCTGGTGGGCAGGTGCTGGGTGAGCTGCCAGGAGAGCAGAGTCCATCCCACCCATGGTCTGTGCAGGGGACAGCCACCAAGCTCCCCTCCCCAGGGCACAGACTGCACTCTTGTCCCACCATGGGGCCACTCAGGACTTCACTGTTTTCTCCTTTACTCACAGACATGGCCAAAGAGTTTTTACTGGAGAAATGACAGTTTTTCAGGATACAGGATGCAACTGTTGCTTCTGTGTTAAATATCCAATATGGACATACTGTTTAAAACCATTTCATCTCCTGTGATTATTATGCCCCCATCAGTCCAGTATGAATGACCAGCTGACCAAGTGTCTCAGAACAACTAGTAGGAGTGAGAAAACCCACAAACACTCTCCAATCCCATGGAACAAATCCCAGGAGAATGTTCCTGTAAGTGCAAAGTTTAAATGCAACAGGAAATTTTATTTAATCATTCAATGATTAAATAAAAATTTTGAACAAAACTATTCCCAAGGCAGCAGTGCTGGCATGCAGGGTGGGTGAACACCCTGTTTTCAGTATCTAACTGAGAGTTAAGTTTGTATTTTCCTGCCTACCAGCCAGGTGCCACCATGGCCATCGTGTTCCCCCTCAAATTTTAAATTCATACCCAGAGCAGTGAACTGCTTCTTGTGGCATCAAATGGGTTGTGAACCTGCCTGTGTATTCAGGATCTAACTTTCTCCACGCCACTGTGCACCGTTTACCTTTGCTATCTTAATGTCCAGCCTCTTTTTCTCACTCTCCTTTCACTACAGCATTTAAAGTGAGAAACTTAAAAACATCAAAGTAAAGCCTAAATATGCAGGAAAGAAGGGCGAATCAAGATCACGGTCATGATAGACAGTGTGGCCACAGATAATGAAGTGTGCATCTGTTCAGAAAAACAATATGCAAACATACCGTGCAAGGAGTTGTGAGCTGCATTTATAGTGCCTGAATTTCACAAGCATGGGAGGCAGCCCCTGGGGAGGCTGTGTTGGTGCTGCCCTGAGCTGCCTCCTGGGGCAAGGGCAGGCAGCACACCTGCAGCAATCCAGCTGTCCTAAAACTTTTTTTGAGAGGGGTTGGGTTTTTTAGACATTCTTTTTACCTGTGTTTCCTTTTCAGATACTCATTCGCATCACTGGGAAGAGGACCAAAGTGAAGACCCAAGCAGCCCAGGGAAGAGCCGTCTGTCCGTGGAGATGGCAATCAGGACCAAGTGGGCAGACGCAACTGTTAGCTGGAATGGGACAGATCCCTTCTTCTGAGGAGTCCCAGCATCTCCCACTTGCTGCCAAAGCCACCAAACGCTGTGGTCTGGAGGTGAAAAACTTTCACCAATGAAACAACCTTTGGTGCCTTGGGCAAATGTCCTGTTCGGCAAGGCATTGCACTCACTGTGAAAGCCTGCGCTGGCGATGAACAGTTACTAGCAACACGGCCTTGCTGCACACATTTTCCAGGTTCTGCCTCCCACAACAGCTGGCAGAAAAAGGAAAAAGGGTGGCAATCTGCTTTCCTCCCATGTCAGATACGTTAAAGAAATCAAGGTGTCTCTTAAGAGTGCAGTGGAAGTGAAATCAATATTGAGCATCGAGAATACTGCGTGCATCTGATTTGTTTAATCCAGTGGGTGCAACTGATTTAGCTATTTGCAATGAGTAAGGTTTCCTCCCTGTTCTCCACAGCTGTGACATCTGTAAGCAGTCTCTCTCCTGCTTCAGCGACAGCTCAAGCATGGTCCCTGGCCAGGCTGGCTCACGGAGCTACCCTGCATCCCGCACACCAACAAGAAAGCACAGCTCGTACATGGGAACCCAGGCAAAAGAGCCTTATGAGGTACTCCTTGCTGTGAATTTATGACACCAAGCCGGGCAGAAGAGTTGATCTCCTTGAGGGTAGGAAGGCTCTGCAGAGGGATCTGGACAGGCTTGATAAATGGACCAAGGCCAATTGTATTGAGATTCAACAAGCCAAAGTGTCTGGTCCTGCAGCTGGGTTACAAGAACCCCATGCAATGCTTCAGGTTTGGAGAAGAGTGTCTGGAAAACTGCCTGACAGAAAAGGACCTGGGGGTTTTGGTCAACAGTGGCTGAGGAAAAGCCAGCAGTGTCCCCAAGCGGACAAGAAAGCCAAGATCATTCTGGCTTATATCAGAAATAGCATAGCCAGCAGGACTAGGGAAGTAATAATCCCCATATACTTGGCACTGGTGAGGCCACACCTTGAATGCTGCGTTCAGTTCCGGGCCCCTCACTACAAGTAAGGCATAGAGGTGCTGGAGCATGTCCAAAGGGCAGTGAAGCTGGTAAAGGGTCTGGAGCAGAAGTCTTATGAGGAGTGGCTGAGGGAACCAGGGGTGTTCAGTCTGGAGAAAAGAAGGCTCAGATGAGACCTTCTCACTCTCTACAACTACCTGAAAGGAGGTTGTAGCTACAGGGCAGTCAGTCTCTTTTCCCAAGTAACAAGTGACAGGATAAGAGGAAATGGCCTCAGGTTGTGCCTGGGGAGGTTTAGATTTGATCTTGGAAAAATTTCTTCACGGAAAGGTCAAGCAGGGAAGTGGATGAGTCACCTTCCCTGGAGGATTTAAAAGGTATATGTGGTGCTTAGGGACATGGTTTAGTTGCCTTGGCAGTGCCATGTTAATGGTTGGATTCAATGATCTTAAAGGTCCTTTCCAACCTAACCATAATTCTACGTTTCAGCAATTTTACTGACTCTGAGTGTGGCCAAGTCCTGGAACCCTGCAGCGGCCTGGTACATACAGGCGGGGCACAGCACTCTTCACTCGCATTAATTCCTTTCTGCTTCCTTTTCTATAGACATCACCTAAAAAAGACCTATGAGTCATACCAAAAGCTGTGTTGCTAATGACAACTGTACGGAGAACAATAACCCTTTCTGCAAGCAAGTGATCTAGAAGTTTGGGTTTGTTGTATTTTTTTTAAAAAAAAAAAAAGGAAAAAAAAAAAAAAAGGAAAGGAAGAAGTGGTCATAACCTGAGCTGAGATTCAGCCCGGCTGGCGCACAGAGCCTGCTGGCTAGCAAGCTAATGTGGGGTCTGCAGCTGTCATTGCCCACCTTCTTTTATTTCTGCTCAAGAAAGAGGGTGGAGAAGAGCCCATGGTCAGTCAAGGCCCTTGCAATGAGATGCTGCAAGACAGCACTGACTTTAACCATCATGCACTTATGCAAATAATTAATAATGAATGAATGAAACTCTGTGGTAACTGCTAATGAAGCTGGGTCACCCAGCACAATGCCATATATTGCAAGGCTATATATGCTGTATAATAGCTAAACAGGTTACTACAGAGATAAAAGATCAGCCTTCAGGAGCTGTTTTCCATGGCAAGGCAGCAGTGCTGCCCTTCCTCTTTCTCCCAGTACACCATGGGGACAGTCAGTGCGTCTGGCCCTGCTTGCACTGGCTCTTGGCTCACGCTGCAGAGAGGGGACCCAGGGCTGCTGAGTCCATGTGAGCCCATTGCCCTGCTGTGACTGCACCAGTGACTTGCCGTCAGCACAGGCAGGGCAGAGTACTCCATCCCCTCAGCCGTGCCATTGCCCCCAGAAAGCTGTCTCCCACCCTGGCCCCTTGCTCCCTCACACTGTGCTGCTTCCTGTCCTGCTCCCAAGACCAGGTTTGGCAAATGCTTGTCTGATTGCTAAAGACAGAAAAAGGAATAGAAACCATGCTGCACCAGACTGCAGAAACATACACCCCCACCACCTCCCTCGGCCTTTAATACTTCTGCCCCCACATCTTCATGTCTTTTTATAACCTTGCAGTGCAAGGCTAAATTTAAGCTGCTGATTTCCTTCAATGAGAACTAAGCCCTTCCTCATTTCTGCGAGGTAACATCATGCTTATGCATGCTTTAAAAATAAGAAGCAATAACAGTATGATCTGGCTATTAGTCAAACTTGTCTGAAAAGCCTCCACAGTTCCAGCACGTCAGAAAGCTCTGTCCTCGTGACAGAGACAACAGCTACAGATTTTCACTCCTAGTCTGGAAATTTCTTTGCAGAAGACAAATACACCTTTCAAAACCCCACATGCATCCCACAGATACTAGGGGGTGCTCTCATGCCCTGAAATACAGGAATATTTGGGGGCATCAGGGGCTACCTGGCAAGGAATGTGAGCAACAAATACAGACACACACAAATGAAACTCATGCCACATCTTGGCACCCTTAATGGTTGGACTTGATGATCTTAAAGGTCTTTTTCAACCTAGCTGATTCTGTGATCCTATGAGTCAATCTCAAGGGGGAAAGAAGTATCAAAGCCTCTGGCAACTCGCAAACAAGCTGCAGGTTTTTACTCCAAGGAAAAGGCCTCTGACACCACACACTGCCTCTGGAGATAAACTCTCCGTTAACTTTCCTGGCAGGCAGGGAAGTTGTCAGCTCTTCCCCACGTGGATGTGCCAGCATCTGCAAGTCTTGGCTGGGTGCTGCCACTTCCTTCGCAGTCACCCATCCATTGTCCTCCCCTCCATGGAAACATACCTTCAGGGGAGGTGGAAACATCCATCACTAGGTCCCTCTCCTACATGGATCTAGTTGCTGATAATCTCTCATCAGCGATCTGAAGAGCTCTCAAACTGCAGAGAAGACAAGCAGACCTTATTTCTCTTAACACTGGTTTACAAATCATCTTTTACACTGCAAGCAATTATTCCGATAGTGTAGACATAGTAGCCTATCACATTGGAGGGAGCCAGCTTATGGTTATCTTCAGAGGCTGGTGTCTTTGTTAGTGAGGATCAGTAGATGGAGAAGCCAGTGCCAGCCTTGTACTGCTACCATAAAAGTCAGTTGGAGAAACTCTCTAAGGCTCAATTTGGAGTTTTAGAAAGCAGGCATTCTGTATCACAGCACTGGGCGCACACGCGAATCATTTTGCAAAGGTGAGCACACCCGTTTCTTTCTGGCAGCAGCTATATATTTAGCATACTCATGCATATCCAGGAACTAATTATAATATTTGCATTTTAATTATGTGTGCACTTTCTTGCTGAGTGGGGGTCTCTGGCAATCACCGACAGTCTTCCTCACTGTGTTTACTGAATGACCTCAGTGCCTGTGCACACTCACAAGGTCCTAGTGCTGAGTTAGCAGTTGGTATGTCCTTGCTTCTGTTCTATTCCCCACCCCATGTTGCGTGCCACTGCTATCTTGAAAGCTGGCATCCTTGGTCCTATTTACTGTCTCCTTAGTTGTTATCAGTCCCATAGTGTTCCTTCCCCCCGCAGCCCCGTCATTCCTTTCTCTCTACATGTTAGTAAGTTAGAATAGTTTGGTCTGTTCTACTATGTTAAAGGCACACACACTATTGTTAGTTTAAAATTTAAGCCTACAGTACCTTTTGGGAACTTACTTGACTGGCTCAGTCTGACTGGTACACTCCCATTTATCCCAAGCAGAATACACTGTATCCAAAGTACATTATATGTTGAAAAGGAGTCTTCAGGGTTGCTAATAAAAAAACTGGGGTGGCCACATTCTGACATTAAATATATATAGAGATTTAATACATATATACACATTATATATACACATACATAGCTTAAATAACTTATAGTTTATATATATATACACATATATAGCTTAAATAATGTATTTTTAAATTACCCTGTATTATTGAAAGCACTGAAAAAAGTATATTTTATTTGTATAAACATCCCCACTATTCTAGTTTATTTGTGAAAAGGCTCTTATTTTTTCTCTTCCCTATTAATATATAATATACATATTATATATACCTTTCCCATTAATATATAATATAGATATTACATATACCACAGAATACGTAAAAAATCCACAAACCAAGTAAGAAGTCTTCTCCCAAGACGACATGACTGTTCTGGCCTTGTTTTCACGCCAGACAGTGGGATAGGGGTAGGGGGCAAAGGACTCATCACTCCAGGATGGAGACCAGAATCTCAAGGCCTGTGAATATTAATTGTCTAATCTCAAAAGATACACTCATATGCCTACGCCAAAGTGTCTCAACAGCTTTACACCCTAAGGAGTCAAATTGTTCCACGTACAATGAGCCAAGAGCAATCACATACAAGAGGCCAAGTGCAACCCATTTACAAGAATTACAGAATCATCTAGAATGATCAAACTAGGTTGGAAAACACCTGTAAGATCATCCAGTCCAACTGTTACCGCAGGACTGCCAAGTCCGCCACTAAACCATGTCATCAAAGGCCTCATCTACATGTTTTGTTGAACACTTCCACGGATGGTGATTCCATCACTTCCCCGGGAAGCCTGTTGCAATGCCTGGCTACCCTTTTGGTGAAGAAATTGTTCCTAATATCCAGTCTAAAACTCCCCTTGGTACAACTTGAGGCCATTACCTCTTGTCCTATCCCTCGTTACTTGGGAGATTAGCCACCTCCTCTCTCCCTCCTCCTTTCAGCTAGTTGTAGAGAGAGGTAAGATCCCCTCTGAGCCTTCTCCACACTAAACACCCCCAGCTCCCTCAGCAGCTCCTCATAAGCCTTGTGCTCCCGACCTCTCCCCCAGAGGCCAGTGACCCTCGTACCAGGGTCCCAGCGCAAGCCCTGCACACGGAGCCGAGTGCGTCCCCGGGGGCCGCCGCCCTCCTCCGGCGGGAAGGTGGGGTAGGAAGCGGCGCTTGCTTTGCGCGCGAGGGCCGGCGGTGGGGCGGCAGCACCGTGGGCGCTCCGTTACCGCGGACAGCTCCGTTGCCGGGGTAACGCCCCCTCCCCGTGCTCCCGCCACCCGGAGCATGCCGGGACCGGGGCGGAGGCCGCGCGCAGCCGCTGCTCGCCTCGGCACCGCCTCCTCCTTCGCTCCCTCTCCCTCCGGCGGCCCGATGGTGGTGGCGGTGGCGCGGCGCGATGAGCCGCCCGTCTTCCGCCGGCCCCGGCGCTAGCAAGCCCTGCGGCAAGCAGCAGCACACCCCGTCCCCCGCCGTGCCCGCCGCCGTCCTGCCGGGACCCGGCGGGGCTTCCTCGCCCCCTCCTCCTCCGCCACCTCCCCCCCCGCCGCCTCCTCCTCCTCCGCATCAGCACCACGAACTGACCTCGCTCTTCGAGTGCCCGGTCTGCTTCGACTATGTGCTGCCGCCCATCCTGCAGTGTCAGGCCGGGCACCTGGTCTGCAATCAATGCCGGCAGAAGCTGAGCCTCTGCCCCACTTGCCGGGGCTCCCTCACCCCGAGCATCCGGAACCTTGCCATGGAGAAGGTGGCCTCAGCCGTGCTCTTTCCCTGCAAGGTAAGGGGAGGAGTGGGGGGCTCTGGGGGGAGAGAAAGGTGGGGAGGGGATTGGAATGTGGGGATGTCCGGTCGGCCAAGCAGGATATTCCCCCCGCTCTATCCCCACCTCCCTACCCTCAATCTTCAAGCTTTCTCCACACACCCTTTTCCCTCATTAAAAAAAAAAAAAAAAAAAAAGAAAGGGGTGGCGCAGTGGTCAAAAGAAGGGAGAGAAACTTTTCATCGGAAAAGTTGGCTGCTCACAGCCACATTGGGTCCCGACTACCGGTGGAAAAGCTCGCCGGTTTGGGCGTTTCGGTATAAACACGGCTTTGAAACGTAGTGGTTTTCTTTTGAACGGCCGAGAGATATTCTTTCAGGGTGAATAATCTTTCAGTTCCGAAACGCTGTAAACGAGCTGCAGTAGGTACAGCGTCACATGTGGGTTTGTGGTGGCCTCGGATTTGTATGCTGGAAGACCGAGGAGGGGAGAGCACACCAATGGAGAGTTTCCCGGTGGGTTTATGTCTTGCCTTTGTTGCTAGCGTAATAGAGAAATATTGCAGCTCATGAGAAGACTTTAAGGAGCTTTCTAAGCTTTATCCAATAAAGGTTCACTTGGCAGTTTGCAGAAGGCAATGGTATCAAAAATGCCTATACCAAAGATACCCTGAGAGTCTCCAGCAACAGCATGTGGGACTCATCCAGAGCCACTGCAGGCAGCAAAGCTCTGCAAAGCCTGAATTTTTGGCTGGTCTGTATCCCCTTCTTTCCTTTATTTCCACCCCACCATAAACACTGAACAGCAAGGGAGGTGCTTGCTGGTCTCCATTACCCAATTTCATGAGTCTGCAGGTTTCTAAAGTGAAACAAGATGATGGGAGTGCCACCAGCCTTTAAAAGCAACACTTCTAATGCTTCTTTCTCATTCACTGAAAATCCTGCTCTAAATGTTGTCCTAGTATTTTGCACAACCAGTAGATAAAAAAGCTAAACCTTTTTTTCCCTCTCCACAGTTATTTTAACCTATGCTGATGCTCAGTCCTTAACAAGTGGTTTATGGAGGTAACAGAAACTATTTGTGTCTCTCTTGTTAGCTCCCGGCAGCCCTCCTTGGGAAGGACAGGGGCTGGTAAGCTGTCGGGTCAGTAACAATACCTGAATTAGTCTTTTTTTTCAAGTCTGTTCTGTTTTCAGGTCTGTTCTGTTGCAGAGTTGCATAGTTTAATACTATTCCAAGTATTAAACATTGAAGTCTCTTCTCTTTAGTGAGTTTGTACTTTGAAAGAACTAAGTGAACTGCTCTATTGTACACATCCTTCCTAATAGACATTAACCAGGACAGCAGATGTGTACATGCAGGCAATGCTGAGCAGGTCATTTTTATGTCTTCTTGGAGCCTCTCAATGCTTGTACCCCTGTAGTACCAAAAGCACTTTAAAAAAATAAGCTGAAGTGACGTAGGGACAGATACAGGAACTGCTGGAACTGTTGCTGATGTAGAATATAAGAACAAAGTTTTAGCATATGGAGCTGTGCATGGCAAGGTGAGGAGCTATGGTCAGGCTGCCAGTGGGACCAGTGTGGCCAGAACGGGTGCAGTGAGAGCTGTGAGCAGGCTTACTCCACCTTTACCTGGAAAAGCCAGTCCCTTGAGCAGCTGTCCCCAGCCAGCCCACAGGAGCATCATTAAGGATCCACAGGGAGTAACGGCACCTCCAGAGCCAACTGTCTGTGTCAGTTCCTGCAGCACAGTGTGGTCCATGGCAAGAGCCCCATCTGACCCAGGGCTGGCTGGGTCACAGGATGTGATGGCTGTCAGCGACTTGCAGAGCTTTTGACAGCATGGGACTGTTTCACTGCTCACCCTTAACTGGGAGGTGGCAATAGCAGATGGAGCATGGTGGTGGGACACAGGTCCTCTCTGCTGAGCGCAGGTGCAGTGGGTTGGTCTCATCTGTGGTGGTTGATATTCCCTGCTTGTTTTAAACAAAATGGAGCGGAGTCCTCACACCCTTCACTGTTTGAGCCACAGCTCTGCTGCCTACAGGATGCCAGTTTTTCCAGCAGCCAAACCCCTAGGCAGGAGTCCTACCAGCTTATCCCCAAGTGGTGGGGATCAGCATCTTGGTTATGGACTGGGAGAGATTTGACTCTGACCTGGTAGTGTTTTGGTGGTCTCTGCAATAAGCCAAGGAGCAGCACATGCCTTATGCTGTGCTGGTCAGCACGTTGGAAGCTGCAACAGGCAGGAGACTGTGGACTCCAAGCTTGGGACTTGGTTTGTTTTCCTGGTACAGTGCCTGTAAGCGAGTTAACAGCTGGTAGAGCTGGAGAGTGACTTTGACCCAGCAGTGGTCAGTGTGCTGCATCTCCCTGCTGCCCAGTGAGATGCCAGTGCAGGCAGGGGTGGCAGCAGTCCCTGGCCCCAGCTGCGTGTGTGGGGCAGCCAGGCAGCGCTGCCTGCAGGATGCCAAGTTCCCCCGTGCCACGCTGCAGTGGTCAGAGCTGCACCTGTGAGTTGCCTACCTCAGACCATGGCCCCAAAAACATGGCGCTCCTGAAGCCCCACATCCCAGACCGGGCTGTGGTACAACCCACACTGGAGCATGCATCCTCCCTGTGTTTCAGCATCCGCTCCGAGTTCTCCACCCCTCGCTCACTGGGCCTCCAGAAGCTCCTCACAGAGGTGTAAATAAGTCTCTCCTCCTCTTTCCTCACACACCTTCTCTTTTATGTGTTTTTTTTCTGCCGTGAGCAGTTCCTGCTCTGCTGCTTTCACTGTTCCCAAGAGCTGCAAAGTGAAATTAGCACACATTAATGCTTTTCACTCTCACTTTTTGAGCCCAGAAACAGCGACATGCTGTCAGGGCTGTAATTCTCAGTCAGTATTATGTAGGTCACAGGCAGCCAGCAGGGACGTGACCCACCGTGTCCCTCAGCAGTGAGCATCCATCAGGTGCTGCAGCAGCACAAGGGGTTTTGGCAAGAGCCACCCTGCTCTGCAGCAGCACGTAGCAGCTCACTGGGGCCTAGCCCTGTTCTGGCTCACCTGGGGGTGTCACCACATTAGAGGAACCCAATATAAGCTTTCAGAGAGAGAGAGGGGGGAAAATCAGAGCTTCAGAAAATGTGAAAGAACAAATAGAGGGGCTGGTGTGTCCAGAGGAGGTCTCTGCTCTTCTAGAGACAACTGTGAATTGTTATTGCACCTCTGTGCTTTACAGGGCTTCCGGAAAAAAAAAAATAAATCTATAGGAGGATTTATATCTTAAAGTCACAGTAGAGTTACTGAAAATATAAAATGCCTGTTAGTGCTGTAAGCAATCTGCAGAAGATAAAATGCACATCAAACACACTCAAACTCCTGATTAATAAGTGCCAAAAGGAATGAATTGTTTTTCTTTCATCTTTTAAATAAGTTCAAGTGGAAAATAATATAGATGTGCTTTCTAATGATGAAGCTGACTTAATTTGGAAGTAGATCCTTCTGTAACTTTGTGGGGTTTGTCGTATATGAACTACAAAAGAAAATAAATCTTATGAAGTGGGAGCTTCTTGAACAGACACCAGAATCTATTTTCACAGCAGTTGTGTGAGGTATGCTGTGATCATTAGCTGCTAAACTTGGAACCATGACCTGGCTAACCAGGCAGTGTGGGGTGGGAGGTGTTTCTCAAGTTAACCACTTCATCAAAAATCTATGAGGAAACAAGTAGAGTTGTGAGTGTTCTCCGTTGTCACCAGCAGAACTGCAGTCCTCGTGTAGCCATGAGCATTAAGCTGACATCCATGCCCTGCCATGTTTTGTTAGCCTGTTACGGTGGGGTTTGACAAACTGCTTGAGTGATCTTGGCATGACATGGGACCAGCACTCCTCATCTTCCCTGTGTAAAACAGCAGGCAGTTACTGCTTGCATTTCAGGGAACTAGAACGTGCCTCCAACATACAGAGGCAAAAAACAGTCCAGCACTAAGGAAAGAATATCCAGTAGCAAATTCAGTGGTTTTTACGCCCTGAGAGCAGCCTGGCTGGGCAGCTGTATAGATGGCATTTAGCAGTGTGTGATGGGGAAATAAATATTTAAAACAAACAAACAACAAAAAGAACCACCACCACCCCAAAAAACCCCAAACCTCCTTCATAAGTATACCAGTGAATTCTCACTGTTATGATTAATTCAACCTAACAATAAGTTTTACTTAAAGGAAATTACTTTTCTAGTTATTGCATACATTTAAAAAAATCTAAGTACCTCGGGCTTTTTCAGGGATTGAAACCCCATTCTTACCAGCTTTCCTCAGAGCAGTGATGCTCTGCATATTGGAAGCTGGAAGAGATACTCACATGAAGAGAGTCTTCCAAAAATCATAGTCATCTCTAACTGAAGATACTGCCATGTTCCTGAGTTACCAGGTGATTCTGGTCCTTTTGAAGAAAAGTGAATCCAGTAAATTCATTATATTGTGCTCTCACACTTTCCTTTGTGGAAAAATTTTTTTGCATCTCATAACCAACATTGTGTTTGAAAGTGGAAGGCACAATAAGACTGTATATAAGCAAGTCTTAAATAACCACTTTTTAAAATTTTGTTTAGACAGGTAGTAGGAGGTAGCCAGAACCACCTTACATCCTTAGACCACTGCTGCTACACCATTAGTTCAGGAGAAAGCATGACAGGTTTCCCATGTAAGCAGACAACTTCCAAACAGAAATTGCATGTTCATGTTATTGTATCCAGACTTACTTGTATATATTGTCCAGTGCTGCCTCTGTGGCCTATTAAGAGCTTTATTTAAAAAAAAAAAAAACACAACAAAACCAAAAAACTATGTCATTTTAAAGATTTTAAGCAGATCTACTAAACCTGAGTAAGATCACACTTCCTATTTTCAACACATAGTAGACTCTAGTAAAGGGGGAGGGAGGTTGATAAAAATGCAGTTGGTTTTGCTTTTAATTGAACAGATACCCGTTATACACAGGTGTGTGCTTACATCATGTTGCCTGCACATACACAAAGAGCTCACAATCTCTAGATGAAACAACAGGACATTCACTGCTCCTATCCCAGGTGAGCAGTAACAGCAGACCCAGCACTGCTGGCAGAGCAGAGTTTGTAAGTGGTTTCTGCCAGGCAGCTGGCTGTGGCATGAGCCGGTTTCTTCACCTGTGCGAGGCTGGGGGAGGCATGGAGGCTCGCTGTTGTCTGGGCAGGACCTCACCGTGCATCCCTGGGAGAGCTCCGCAGGATTTCTGCTAGACTAGGCTGAGCATCTGTGCCCAAACTGTAGTGAATGCTTCAGGAGGCTGGAGGGATCTTAAAAGCAGGGACAGATGTTTTATGAAGCACTTGGGGAGGGAAAAGCACAAAAGGGTCTCAGTCCTAGCTGGGTCCCTGAACATTGCTAACACACATACAGGAGCAGGCAGACCTCTTCTTTCCAGAAGTATTACTTGTATCTCAAGCTGCTTGTACACTAGAGGGAGAGTCTGGAGGCTAGAGCAGGAGGGGTTTGAACTTGGCAGTCTGTTCCTAGCTCTGCCACTGATTTCCCATGTGGTTTCAGACAAGTTACTTTAATCCTGTGTTCTTGCCTGCCTTCATTTACAGGGTTGATAATACCAGCCTACCTCTGCTGAGCACTTGCAAGCTTAACTAATGTTTTCCAAATGCTTTAAGACACTCAGAAAGCTATCCTGTCAAAGTGAAGCTCACAGCAGCACATGCAGAGTGACATACTTGGCAAAAACAAGGCATGCTAGGTCATGTATGTAGTGACAAGTTCCAAGCTTATAATTTCCTTTTAGAAAGAGAATACAGTGCTAAACCATGAACTAAAACTAAACTGTGAAAACAAGTACATAATACTTTCCAACTTGGAATTCTAGAAATTATGAGAAGGGCAATAAAAAAAGCAGAAAACAGTCATGCCAGCCCAGGCATCAGTGGCACGCCTGCACTGTTAGCATTGTGCACAGCCCTGGCTGCCAGTCTCAAGGACACAGTAGGGGTGGAAAAGGTGCACAGGCCAAGTAGCTCAAAGGTATCATATAACCTCTACACAGGGAGAGACGGAGGAGGCTTTTGAGGGGTATAATGAAGATCGGTGACCTTTGCCAAGCAGTATGAAGACAGCATGTCAGTTTTTGCTTTTCATGGTCTTCCACCACTGGTAGAGCTTCTTACCAGATGAAACCCACAGTGATGGGTTAGGAAGCATACAAAAGGAGGTTCTTCTCAAAATGAAGGGAAAGTTACCACTACTTGCTCATCTTGTTTTTACACTCTCCCTTCTGTAGTCATCACTGGTCACTGTCCCATACACATCAGGTTTCACTTAATCAGCAGCTTACAGATTCTTACTGGTTTTCTTAATGAGGTTAGACTTGGAGCTGCTCTCCAACACCTGGTATGATTGAAGTGTTAAACAGGGCTATGAACCCTGAAAATTCCAGCAGGCCAGTGGAGCTGGAAGCATACACATACCTGGGTGGCTGCATTATGCAGCAGGGCATCAGGCACAGCAGACCAGGCATTTGCAAGACGATGCCTTGTTCCACCTCAGCACCCTGCAATAAAGCCATTAGCACAGGATTAAGCAGCAGGGGCAGACACTGTAAGTGAAGGCTCACGTTAACTCTTTATGGCTTATAAACCAAACTCTTTCAGAAGAAGGTCAAGTTTCTATCCCAGTATTCCTAGCACCCTGTTGCCAGCATGGGTGATTTGTATCTTGGCATTTAGAGCTGAAACTTCCTGCACACATATTATCCCAGAAATAATAATTTATTCCTTGGTTGTATCTATCCTCAAGGAGGTGTCACAGCATCTGTAAGCAGCCATGCATGCATCTTGTAACCTGCATGATAGTGGTAGTAGCGGTGTTGGTATCACTACTGATACCTACAGACTGAGAGAATAGGAGAGACCTTTATGTCTCTGTGAAAGTAGCATGAAAGCAGAGTGGTCAGTGTGGACAACTGAACTGACTGCAGACAAAGGGAAAGCAACCTCAGCTGGTTAAGCAAATTAACCCTCTAAGTTGCCCAATGACATTAAAAGAAGTTAGGTGGTACTTATTTGTGTGCTAGCTTTATGCTTAGAGAAAAGTCATCCTCTTTCCACTTCTCACAGTGGCAGTGTTGAAAGTGTTCCAGTGTTTAAAAAAAACTGTGGAGAATCTGCATTTGAATTTAATGGGAGTGGCTTTGCTCTGTGATGGTAATAAGGTACATCTATTAAAAATACTTCACTCTAGTTGCTGTTTGCTGAAACTAGAATCCTTTGTTCTTTTTAAAGAAAAGAAAAATCCAAACCAGGACCACTTCAGCTGATCTGGACCTATCAGATCTAACTACAACAGCAAATCTAACTACAACTCAGCCTTACACTCCATTTTATCTAAGTGCTTGCATTAGAAAAAAAAGCCAACCACACAAAGACAAGAAGAATTCATTTTTAAGTGGAAACAAAAATAAGTAAAGCTCAGCTCTGAATCCAGGGCTAAATAGAAGCATCTAATGTAAAATTTGCAAAGAGAACAAGAATTCTGGTTGAGTACCAGTGTTTCCAGTTGACAGGTGGGAGCAGCAAACACGAGTGCTGGTGCCTTTCTTGACAGCTTGTATTTGGTCTTTTTCCAGTATGCCACAACAGGCTGCTCTCTGACACTCCATCACACAGAAAAGCCAGAACACGAAGACATCTGTGAGTATCGTCCCTACTCCTGCCCATGCCCTGGTGCCTCCTGTAAATGGCAGGGATCCCTGGAAGCCGTGATGTCCCACCTCATGCATGCCCACAAAAGCATTACCACCCTTCAGGGAGAAGACATCGTTTTTCTTGCCACAGACATTAACCTTCCAGGGGCAGTTGACTGGGTGATGATGCAGTCATGCTTTGGTCACCACTTCATGCTGGTGCTGGAGAAACAAGAGAAGTACGAAGGTCACCAGCAGTTCTTTGCCATCGTGCTGCTCATTGGCACCCGTAAGCAAGCGGAGAACTTTGCCTATAGACTGGAGCTGAATGGCAACCGCCGCCGACTGACGTGGGAAGCAACGCCCCGCTCCATCCACGACGGGGTATCTGCAGCCATTCTGAACAGTGACTGCCTAGTTTTTGATACAGCTATAGCACACCTTTTTGCTGACAATGGGAACCTTGGCATTAACGTGACTATCTCTACATGTTGTCCGTGATGTGTTTGCATAGCTAGTGAAACCTAGGCTGTCTGGACATAATGCTTTACATTCACAAGGGTTTTCTTTTGCTTCTTTTCTTTTAAAAAAAAAAAATGATATTCAACTATGCCATTGTGTATGCTAAGGTTCCTAACTAGCCAACATTTTTAACTTTGGAGAGAAGAGCAATGAGAGTGTCCTATAAGTAACATGAGTGAGAAAAGGTCTTTTTAAATTCTTGGGTGCCTTAGGAAGATTCCACACACACAGTCACCTTTCTTAATTTAATTATATTTTATTTAAGGAGTGCTTCCATTAGACATGTGGCTTAAGAGACTTGAAGGACTGCATTCCTGTTTGGAGCACACCCAGAAGCCCTTTCAGCAGGAACACAGACTTGCTCTCTCACTGGTGAGCTTTAATAACTGTTTTTAGTAGGCGGGAAAGAAATCCAAGCAACCTCTCACAAGAGAGATTGTGACTCAAAGGGGAACAATAGGTGCTTCAGTGTTGATACTCTATTTCCTGCTACCTTATTAAAAAGGGATGGGTGTTGGATCATATGCTGGGGTTTTGAAAGAAAAAAGGGGAGGAGGGGCTGGGGTAAAGCAGAGCAGGTTTCACAGTGTGGGAACTGCCAGCTCCTGTCCATTTTAGGGGAATGAGTGAGCCCAGCACATGGCACAACCACTCACAGCCAGGTACAGGTGAGAGCAGGAGGCACGCATCCAACGCATCTAAACCAGCTAGAGCCAAGAATATAGTAATAAGCTGTCCACATGCAGCTTTCCTTGGAGACATACTTGACTATTGATTATTGTAAAAGACTAACAATATAGTGAGAGTTTTATGGCCAGTATCATGTCATTTGCTATTTAAGTTTTGTTGCCATATTTACTTTTATTTTGTAATAAATATTTTGCAAAAACTACACTGCATAGCATGCTGTGCTAACACATGTGTGCGTGATGGTAGCTCTTGCTTCCTGGTTACTCTGTGCATTCTGCCTGGTTGGATCTGCTGGGCTTCCCCAGGAAGAGCCAGGTCACCCAAGTGAGCTCCCCGTTTTGCCACCCAGCTCTGCTGCCTGAGAGGGCCACAGTGCAGTACAAGCAGGAGAACCGAGTCTGGATCCGAGTCCCAGGGGCAACAGTGACAGCCTGGCTCATGCAAACTGAAATCAGAGTCTGTCACTGAAGCTGAATCTTCTGCAGCTCTTTCTCTGCAACCAGTGCCTTCTGTCTGAATTGCTCAAGAAAAATACTAGCTCCACATATTGGCTTTGCTGAATATTAAGATGCCTGCCACTTGGAAGAGGCAATGGGTTGTGAGGTGATACACCCACTGAGTTATTTAGCGGTAGGAAGCCTCATGGTAGTGGAAAACTACATATAAAGTAACAGATGAAGCTTTGTGTAAATAATTATAATACACATTCCTAACTGTATCCCTCCAGGGAAGAGCTCCTTGGAATTATGACAATCCTATCTGCAAACATCACCCAGTGTCTGGTGCTAGTTCCCAGAAAAGCCAGAAGAGAATGACATGTATACAACAGCCCCTCTCAGCTGTGCTTCAGCACCACCTGGGAACAGTTAATGGCAGGCAGCAAAATGAGTGACCAAGATCTGCACCTAGGAAACAGTTTTTCTGTTGACAGTTCTCTTCAAAAACAATTTTCACTTTGAACACAAATAAAAATGCAGAAACTCCTAGGGACTGATGAATTCATAGCAAGAATACAGCACAACTTGAGTAGTTCCCACCTGCAACTGTGCCAGCACCAAGCCACGTGCTGCTGGGACAGTGCCTCAGCCTATGCAGCGGCACTGCAGGCAGGAGCGAATGCTGTGGCAATACCAGGATCTGCACCAGCCGAGCATGGTAGCAATCTTCCAGGACCCCAGTGCTACAGGGAGCTATCAGCATCAATGGCAGTCAAGCAGCATGTCCAGACACTGCACTAACAAACACCACTGGCTGCGCCTCAACATACTCCTTCCAGTTTTAAAAATTACTGACTTACTTTGTTGTGGAATCCATGTGCTCATAAGACAACTGCATTTTTCTTATACAAAGTCCACATAATGTAGCATATATGTGCTGTCCTAAGGTAACTAAAGCCTGCATTTATTTGCAGATGACGTATCTAAAGAAAATTGCTCCTTCTGCTTCTCCAAGCTGAAGTGCAGATTCCTTGGAAGAGTTCAACAGCATCTAGCCCTACAGGAGACATCAGGAACAGATGTCTGACAAGCATATAATGCAAATCATAGAATCAACTAGGTTAGGCAAGACCTTTAAGTTCATCAAGCCCAACTGTTATCCCAGGACTGTCAGGTCCATCACTAAATCACTTAGGCAAGTGCTTTGGGTGCAGTTAGAAGTTTGTGCCCAAACAGGAAAGTCACAGCAAGTTCCTTAACCACTGCTTTACTTTCAGCCTTGCTCCCATTCCGTGCAGAAGGCTGCAGGGCAGCTCCGGCCGCTCACCAGGTTCACGGCAGTGGCGTGCTGAGGGCTGCTGCCGCTGCAGGGCAAAGGCAGGAGGGCAGCGGCTCTGTGGGCACCATCGCCGGGGGCTCCCGAAGCACCCGCACCACCCCGAACACCTCCACCTCCCCTGAAGGCCGTTTACGTCCGTCCACACCCGACCGCAGGCCCCCGATCCACCGCGTATAGGGCACGGCAGCAACCCCCCCAGACACGCAGCTCACACGTGCCCCGGCAGCCCCCACGCCTGCCGCGTCCCCATGGAGACGGCGTCCTCCAGCCCCGCCGCAGCGGGCTCGGCCGTGCCGTGGACGGTGCTGGCCGGAAACGGGGCCGGGTAGGACGGGCAGGCCGGGCCAGCACAGCGCAGCGCAGTGCAGCACGGCGCGGTTTCTCCCCGCGGGTCCCCTTGCAGCGTCGCAGGCAGACCCCGCTCACTAAAGAGAGACGGGCAGGTCGGTAGCGGGGGCTTGCGTGAGAACCGCGGGGAATCCCCGGGCTGCAGGCCGCTTCCCGAGGCACTCTGCTGCAGTGGAGCAGGTGCTGACCGATCTCCCTAAAACCGTGGGAGGGAAGGCGGAGGGGAAACCGGCCAAGCGACCTTGGTCAGCGGCTGGCAGGGCCAGCTGGCACCTCCCGCCTCTGTAGCTAAGCCGCTGCCAGCCCCGCTTACTGCGTCCACAGCTTTCGGATTTCTAATTAGACACATTCGGAAAAGTCTCCTTCATCGGTACAATGGTCCAGGGCAATTGCTTTGAAGTCATTGTGTGGGGCTAACAGGTGAGTGTGTGTCTTACACTAAAGGGAACATCGGGCAGCATCGAACCCATCGAGACGCAGAAGCTGCCAGGACCTTCAGTGTCGATGCAGAGAGAAGCTGGCTGGCTCCACGAACACTCCTACAGAAAATCAAGTAAGAAACAGCTTTGTTCAAGGAAGAGCTGCTCACTTGTATTGTCTTTCACTCAAGCTGTCTCAGGCTTTCATAGAAGACTTGTGACTTTGCAGTTTCCCGGAGATCTGCTTGCAAAGTGGCAGCAGACCTGGAGCAGCCTCCAGGAGCCCCCGCTGCGGCCCTCTCGTTACCCTCTTTGCAGAGCCACTTCTAAATGAACCTGCAGGACCACTCTGCCAGCCAATAGGCATAGGAGTGCTCAGCAGACGGCAGAAAGAGTGTACTGTATTCCTGTGAGAGGTACTGGCAAAGCCTCTCAGGAGAGCTGGAGATGTATCAACCTTTTCTCTCCTCCTGCTCAGCTGAGCCATCCCAGCATGTGACCGAGTAACCAGCTCCTTCTCTTGCCTGCTTAAGTCGAGCACTGTACTCTCGGGCACAGCATGTTAGTGGTAGTTGCTGCTTGACCCCACCCCTTTTGGGCACCCCATCAAACAGCCTTTGTGCTTTTCAAGTGTTTGGGGTTTGTTTGCCTTTTTTTTTTTTTAATGTTCAAAAACCATGTAGACAAGGCCCTCAGTGCCACGGTTTAGTGGTGGCCTTGGCAGTCCTGGAGTAATGGTTGGCCTTGAAGATCTTAAAGGTCTTTTCCAGCCTAATTGTTTCTATGATTCCTTTTCAACACCAGGCAGCTCTGCTCTGTTGGAGAATGTCTGCCGCACCTCATGTGCCTCTAAGAGTGGGAGTGATCAGAGCCACAAAACAGCACACCAGCTGAAAGTACTGGAGTTAGCTGTGTGCAGATCCATCCCAATAGAAAGGGGACATGCACAGCCCACGACAGATAAACATTGCTCTCTTCTCACTTTGGAAGGATGTTTGTTTGGAAATGCACTGTGAATGCGTTTGCAGGAGAAAACACTGTAGGCTTTGTACCTTAGGTGGAGCTTTACAAGTCCTTGGGGTGACTGTGGCTGTAATACAGAATAACGGTAAATCATCTGCTTGGGTTTGGAGGCAGCAGTGGTAGATAGAGATGATTCAGAAGCTGCAAAGTCCATTAGAGGGGGCAGAGTAAGAAGTGGAGTGTCCACCTACCCTGAGTACTGTGCCTTGGGTGCCAGGCTTCCCTGTGTCCCTCGGTGCCATGGTGCACCCAGAGCTGTGCCCTGCCTGTGCAGCTTCACACCAGTGAAGCACCAGCACCATGCACTTTCTGAAGTTACTTCTTCTCAGGTGGGATTTATGATCAGCTACACTCTGTGACATAGCTTGATTGCTGTGGTGATAACTACGTGTCTTTGAACTGCAATTCAAAAGAAGTTCAAGCAAACCAGTATCCACATAATTCAGCCTTCTAAAAGTATAAGCAACTCCCATAGTATTGCTTTCACTTTTCCTTCTGTGTTGGTGCATTCAGTCACTTCCAGGTGCATTCCTGAGCTGTGGATCCCACTACAAGCCTAGGAAGCTGGGTGTTGACATGGGGCTGTTGTGATTTTTATCCCATCTTTTTAAATACATGTTCTCATTTTTTTCATACTTTCCAAAGAGAAGAACTTAGATTTTGGTGTTTCAGCCTGCCCAGGGTTTCATCTGGCTGAGTATTTTCTAGAAAGCAGAATAAGCTTACTTGGAAGGGCAAGACAAACTGGGTGGCAACAAGGGGAACTGAAATTGAAGGCTAAAAGGACCTAGAATGTGTTAGCTTGGCTGAAGGGGAGGCTGTAGCAGTTGGCATGTGAGCCATGTTGATGTTCAGACAGGAGATGATGTATATGGGACAGCACACAGCTGTGCACCTGAGGTAGCTGGATGTCAGCCCTACTGAGGACAGTGCTAGACATCCAGTCATCTGAGATGTTTCCTGTCACTCCAAAGGGCAAAGAACCCTTTGTTGTGTTTACACAGCATGGACTGTACTTAGAAATGAGAGAAAACCTCAAATGTCTCTACAGCTCTTTCTTTTTAGGACTAGAGAAGCTGGAAATGCTTTAGAGGATAGTGCAGTATTAGCTCAGTGCTATAAGTCACTGACCCTCAGCAGTAAGCTATCTCCATGACTTCAGTGGGACACTTTTGTAAAGCCCTGATCCCATGTCAGTGCCCAGTTACAGTCCCTCAGGCATCTGGGAAGGGTTACATGCAGATCCAGGTTTCCTGTCTGAAACCAGTAGCAAGTCTGGCAAGAAGGCCTCAGGCAGCTGATGTGATCGATGAGAAAAGGCTGTCATGCTGAAAGAGGAACAAAACAAATATGTCTAGAAGATAAGTTTTCTGAGAGCACAGCATGGCAATTTGATAATTCTCATTGTCGCTATTACTTGCAGCCCTGTAAGAAGAGTCCAGAAGCTTAGATGTTTTGTGTGACATGGAGGTAAGGACTTACCCAGGTTGCATATACATGCTTAAGGGGTTTACCTCTGAACAAAGATATGACTCCAAATTGCTTTTGTTATTTTCCACTTTGAGTTGGAAGAAGATTTTGTGAAGCTGTTCAAGAAATCACTGCGCACGTTCCCATCCACTGGCCTGCCTAGCCTTCTGGCCTACAGACCTGAATCGTTACGAGAAATCTTACAGGCTGAGGTGAGTCAGTGGTAGATGTGCCCTACTGTGTGGCTTTTGCTGTTTATTTCCTACGATTCCCATGTAGAAAAAAAATAAAAATAATGCCCTTTGCCAAGCCAGTGCTAGAGTTCCTTTACAAAAGAGTTTTTCTTCTCGAAGGCTCTTGAAATTATGCTTTTTGTGCACTCCTGAACAGCAAGAGGCTGTGCAACTCCTCTCCCCAACGCTGCATCCTGTGTTGATAATTTCCTAGCAGAATTTGCCCTTTGGCTAAAACAGTGGTACAAAGTTTGTATAAATACTAGGTATACTGTTAAAGAATTACAAGAAGGGCATAGAGCTCCCCATAACTCTTAGCAGAGTAAAGTCATCAAAGAGAGCTAGGCATGAGGTGGGGAAGCCAGGGAATTTCCAAGAATAATGCTCCAGAGAAGCCAGGTATTTCAAATTAATATGTTCTTTTCTGAAATTGAAGGATTTGAATGAAAGTGTTAAACACACAGTATAGTAAATCAAGTGTAAGTGAAGCACACCAGCTAAGTGGCCTAGAGCAGGTACCTACCCTCCACCCCTTGCTGCTGCTAATGGATTGCTCTCAAGGAGCACTGAGCTTGGTGTGCTGCCCTTGGGAGTGGAGGGATTAGGCATGGAATTCAGCAGCACACTCTTGGCAACTGCACCTTCTGTAACTCAGTTTCAAAATGTGTTTTCAAAAAATAAGATATTTATTTCAGAATATCTAGTACCCTTCCTCAAAATACACCCCAGAGCAGTCCTGATTTGCATCTGGTCAAATACGCTCAGCTCTTTTGTCAACAAATCTGCTGGTGGTTCCTCATGAAATTCCCCACAGGTTTTCCTATGATCAACAGTGCAACAATGTTGGAGCTTTTTCTCTCCAAAGCCCCAAGCAACATATCTGAAAGGGTTAATGCATCAGAGTACTCAGCTGTAGCATTCTTCATGCTCCGAAGCTTTCTCTTGGAAGGAATGGGTCTCATAGGTACTACAGTTATTCCATTTATTTGAGGATTTTTATTTATTTACTTACTACAGAACAGCTTTTCTTTTTGGTGGTTTCCTGAACCTAGTGTTTTGAGTTAAATTGTCCCAAGACATCACAGACACAGATCTGTTTTAACTGCTCTTACACATTTTATGACGGTGCATTTTGAGCATAGCCCTCTTTCCCCAAGATAAAATGAGGATTTGTGTGCTGATACTATTATTTTTGTCCTCCCCATGTTCTCTCTCCCTACCTCCACTTCAGATAGAGGAGGACTTTGCTCCAAGATGTGAGTATTGTGGCAGCCTGCTGAAGCCATTCCCTTCCTTTGAAGACATTTGCCCACTGTCACAGGATTATGAATCAGTAAGCTGGTGGCAAAGATTAGCAGAGGTTGGCTGTGGAAAGGCCTACTCTTATGGCACCGCTCTTCTGCCTTTCAGAAGTTTTGCTGTGAACATAATCGAGACCTCTATGAGTTCATCATGAATGAGAGGAAGATCTGTAGAGGCAACTGGAACATTCTCACTGATGTTGGCCCCCAGAAGACCCATGAGGGGAAGACCCACAAAGGTGCCTGGAACATTCCCATTGATATCGGCCTCCTTAAGTCCCATGAGAGGAAGACCCATGAAGGCATCTGGAGTGTTCCCGTTCATGTTAGCACCCAAGAGTCCCATGAGGAGAAGACCCATGAACGTGCCAGGAGCATTCCCACTGATGTCATCCCCAATGAGTCCCATGGTACCAAAGTCGACAGGCTGCTGTCAGAGGAGAGGGTGTATGAGAGGTACCGTGAAATGACTACAGGGGGAACTGGGGATCTGGTCTGTGTAAGGCGCAACAGATCACTCTTGGGAGAAAAGAAGCATTAAGAAAATGAAACTGCAGCAAGAGGCAATGAGAGAAGAAATATATTTGCTTTAGGCAACACAAGTTCACATTCTATCTGCAGCCTCTTTGCTTTTCTCCTATCAGGCTGTAGTAGAAGGTGGGGAGGTATGTATTGAGTAAAGCATTCATTTTACTACTTTCAGACATAGTATCTAGAAACAGGTAAAGCCGAAAACATAATTGCAGCTGTGGGTGGGATAATACTCAGGTCTAGCTTTACCCCAGATACTGAAACAAACCTTGAATTTGTGTTTCTCTATTTTGCTGCATAAACTGTGACCAAACATTTGGATTCTAGTTTCCAGTCACAAGAACTCTGCAAGTTTGACTTCTACTGGGCTGTTTAGTAGGACGTTTACACAAATATCTGAGTCTATAGCATAGGCTTAAAGAAATCAGTATACCTGGACTTAAACTGCTAGCTTGCTTGAACATCCTTTGCAGTATTATGGTGTCAGTACCTCATATTATGTACAGAGCATAAACCAAAGTCATTGTCAGACACTGTCAAATTTACAGAAAGCTAGATAAGGAGAACAGTCAAAGTATTCTTGGTGATTAGTTGTTTCCTTGATCTTGGAAAGCTCTCCTCTTTCACAGAAAATCTTGACACACAATCCATTACAATGTTTAGTCTGTTCATTGAAATCTCTGTAAGGAAACAATTCCTTTTTGGTGATATTCCATTGACTCTAACTTATATGCAATCGTGTGAGTGGAGAGAAAAAAACAGATTCAGAAAGTTGCATTCCTATGGAAAGGATATGCAATGCCTCTAGTTTTTAAAACAGGATATATGAAACATCTCAGGAACACTTTCATTTCCAGGCAGCTGGAGAGACGATCAACCAGACAGTTATTTTTGCAGGCAGCAAAGGCAGCATTTGCAGCTAAACGTGAGTTTGCATTTCCTTACATATTTGTCTATTTATTACAACAATGAATTCAATGGAATTGCTTGTCCCTAATGCTCTCTAATGGAAGAGGAAGATTTATACAATGACACATTAGCTCATTGTCAAGTGTGCAATCCCATTAAATTAGATACTACCATATTATATGGCATGAAAAAAACAAAACCAGTTACATTCCCATTGCACTGAAAGGATCTCCTTGCTGTGACTTTCAGTATTTAAATCTGACTGTTTCAACTGAGATGCACAGAAATTTACTTTAGAGGATAATGAGTTGGCAAAGCCAAGCCCTTGGAAGGCATGAACTGCCAGAATTAGGGGGATCAACATTTTGCCTAGTCATGTGAACACTCCACTAAATCCTAGCCCAGTCTGTGAATGACTGAGCCCTTTGGATCTAGCTATAAAATTAAAGGCATTTTGACTAAGAACAGATGAACTAGATTTATAATATGGGGTTCTTTTCACAGAAGATGGCAGGGTACAGAGGCTTTTGTGGCACCAGGGGTTTCAGATCATCAGTTCTGCAGAGCATGGAGCCATGAATGCTATCCAAAGAAAGTCATACTACATCTTTTTCATATCTCTGAAATAGCTGAACACTGTGGACTGTCCTTGTTAGACAGAAAATACCTTGAAACAGACTCCCAGGATGGAACATTTCAGCCAGAAATCCCCACTCCCCCAAGTTACAGCCTCCCTGCCAGCCCTACCCAATGCACACAAACCTTCCCTTTCCTCTCTAGGTTTAAATGAACCTGGCACAATTTTCTACCAGCTTTCCCTGGAGCCCCCATCACCAAACAGCTGGACGCTGATGCCTGCTGAGAGAGCAGCAGAACCCAAGGAGGAGCCCATCTCCTACAGCATCACCTGCTGTGATTTTACCTCTGTTGGTGGAAAGGCAAGTAGCTGCTGCAGACATGTCCAACAGGATGTGTCCATGCTCTGGAGCGGCTGGAACCTGGTGCCTGCTTGCCTTTCAAGGGCAGCTGGCGCAGGACTGCTCTCATCCATTTTATTGTTTCTCTTCCAATCTTAGGTAGTGAAGAATGAATTGCTGGAAAAGTACTACAAACATGGGGGGAAATTCCTTACCATGCTTCCAGATGGAACAGTGCAGTTATTGTATCCTTTATGGGGTTCATTGGCCTGCATTAGTCCAGGGTTGTTACTGTAATTTTACATGAGTCATAGGCTGCTTTATCACCAAATAACCTGGTCCACCATTCACATTTGTTTTCACAGTCTGGAAAAAAGCAGTAGTGAAACCACTTACATAGGTCTTGGTCTGAGGTTCTTCAGATCTGCCAGTAGCTTCCATGAAGGACAGGTACTTGTGCCTTTAATACCCAGCTTAAAAAATGTGCTAGCTCAGTGTTTAGACCCACTCCTGAGCTCTGGCCACCCGTGGATGGGCACTGCTGTTTAAGTGGGCTCCCAAACCATTCAGCCCTATCCTTTCCACAGCGACAAACCAGCACATCATTTCCCATCTGCGTGGGACTAAGGTCTCTGTCCTGCAGGCAGGAGTACATAAAAGGTGCACTGACAAACTGAAATTAACAGTGTAACTCAGAGTGCTGCTTGAAGAAATAAAAACGTGTCAGTTTCACCAAAGGACCCCATAGCTTTCAGGCTGCCTTTGCCATTATTTAAGCCATAACATTTTAAGCCACCCAAGTTACTTTTCCTTACTGTGGCTGACTTTTTTCTGACCTGGGGGTGTATGATAGTCTGCCTGAGCTCTGCCACCAAACAGGCTTGAGACTACTTCTCTGCTCTGCCCTCCAGGCTGCCTTTGTCCCAAGGATGCTGCTGGGCACGGAAACAGCAAAGTGCCATAAGCACATGTGCTTCCAGTAGCAAGTCTTGCTGAAGGGAAACCCCAGTGAGACACAAAATACCTCCTGCGCCAAGGGTCTTTTTTCTCCACATTTGTTTTCTTTTTAGCTCTGGGAGGATAATACCTGCCCCTGTTTTCTCTGCTGTCATCCAGGTTGAGTATTTTTAACACCTCACTTTGGTAGCCTCATACTTTCAATTATTAGCGTTGTCTGGGAACATGTCTTTAAGATAAAAACTTGCTAAGCAGTTCCAGCTGGGTTATTGGTTAGAAAACAACAAAAATGTATTCTGTATCTCTTTTGTCAGTGTACACAGGGTACTTCAATGTAGCAGAAAAGCACTGGCAGTGTCCCAGGTAACACTGGCAGCACACCATCATTTTACACAGTGATCTGGTTAATGGGTCAATTTTTATACTCCAGAGTAGTGCTCTGAAATATTCAGAATGTAATATTAGACCAGACAAAGAAAGGAGTTATGAACACCTTATCTGACGACAGCTATCCATCTGGAAATCTGGCAATCATCGTTGTACAGAAGAAAAAATGTCGTGTTTGCATAGTACAGGAAGACAAGCCAACTTATGCTGAAATACAAGCACTATTTAAGTCTGATGGCAGAAGTACTTGCTATTACCCAAATGGAACTGTGTGGTATGTTTAAGTTGGTCAGAGCAGTTTTGCTCTCCACTGTGCTTTTTAAATTTCAAAGGTCATAAAGGGTATTTTTAAGAGGATTCAAAAATTAAAAGACAAGTATAGCAGCTCGAGGGCCTGCTTCAGGTGCCTCCCAGAGGGGCAGGGCCACCCCGGCTGTGTCTTGAGAGGGAGGGGTTAGACCCCAAACTAGCTGTGCCTCAGTCCTGTCCCTCTGTGGAAGCTGCCATGGGAACTGCAAGGTTCAGAGCTTTGATTTTCCTCTCTTTTAGGATACACATGAGCATTCAGGGAGGGCAGTATTTGGACCAAGCAGGCAGCAGGGTGAAGAGGTGGACATGGCCAAACAGCGTCACGTCACCAGGACCCCATGTCCCGCTGAAACCCATCTTCATCTCCCTCAACCGGCACGTGGGGGTCAGGATCCTGGGCCAGGATAAGATCGCTGTTTCCTTCCTTGCCATGGGGCAACAAGCAAAATTCAACATGGGAACCAAAGTGCAGGTATTTCTCAAGTGCACAGGTAGCTCCACACAAAGTCGCTTTCCACTGAAGGAGCAGGGCAGCCAGGGAAGCTCCCATCCATGGGGAAGCACACTTATTCCACAGTGGGTGCTCCCTATGTTGCCCCATGGTCCTGCCCCCCAAAACAGCAAACAGTGAAGGTGTACCTATGCTCAGGCCCATGCAGACAGGGGGCTCACAAGCCCTTGCAGCCCTGACACTATATAAGGGGCTGCAGAGTGCGGGAAGCACTTCCAGGTAGGTCCCCACTGTCCCTGCTTGCATCCCTGAGGGTCACCCTGGCTCTGCTATGGTGAGAAGATCTGTGATCCATGAGGGCAGGGAGTGTGGCAGCTCCCTTCTTCCACGGGTTCCTGCCACAGGGGCAGGTTTGTTTGCTGGGGAAAGACCAAAACCCTGAAGCCCTGTCCTGTGCTGCTGCAAGGCTGACACCACTCACCTCTGCTCCCTAGGTCAGCGATGTCAGCCAGCTGCCTCCCCCTGCCCCGCTGAGTGAAGATGAGCTCCTGCTGCTTGCCTTCAGGGTGAGGATCCTGCAGCTCTTCGACAGACTGCGTGGATGCTTAAACTTTCCTTCTAGTGAGCAATGGGACAAACTGAAGCCTCCCGCATACCTTATCACACAGACTTTGAAGATCTTACAGCTTTGCACAAGTTCTGACGTAAGCGATGAGCTACGCAGCTCAGTCGGGGCAATAATAAATGCTGAAGTCTGACCAGCAAGTGTAGTGTGAAGGCAAATCAAGCTGGAGATGCTCCCTGACACTGCAGCATCTGCACACACTCTATGAGGTTTTGCCTGCAGTCCTGCCCTGCTGTCACACAGTGCAAAGGGCAGCCCACGGCCATTCTGCGTGGCCCCTCTCCTGGGGCCTTCCCACCTCAAGGTAGTCTGCCTAGTTGTTTCAGCCCATGGATGTGGCACAAAGGTAAAATCCAATAGAGCACAGGTAAGTTATAGCCCGTGACAGGTACATGGGTAGGTGTTTGCTTAGAAGTGACCCACACAGGGTCAGTGCTTCTGCCAAGGACACAGCACCAGTGGGATGCCCAGACTTCCGTGGTGCAAGCTCTGGATGGCAGCTCAGCCTGCCGCAGGTACAAGACACAGTAGTGCCCTACGCACAGAGAGGCACAAAAGCACAGTTTGTCCAAAGCAATCAAAGGTCATTGTCTTGGCAACGTGTGCGTGGGTGCCAGGGATAGGAAGCTGTTAATGCACACAGCAGAGCACAGACAAGCAGCAGCCTCTTGGCAGCAGCTCGTAAACAACCAAGGGAGGGAGAAGGCTGCTGCAGTGGGCACCCTGTGCTTCCTTCCCACCATAGGCCCAGCAGCTGTGAGCAGAACGAGCAGATGTGGTGGGGCATGGACCCCTCCTGAAATGGTTACCTCAGGCTGGCCCCTGCCCCAGCTCCCAGCAGTTGGGATGTCTGAGGGAGGTGCAGTGCCATAGGAATACGTGCTGCACCAGGACACTGCTCCGGACACCACAGAGCCAACATTCCAGGCTGCCATGTACAGCATCTGATACAGGGACCCCTCTCAAGGACAGGGGCACGTGGGGAACGGGGAATGTCAAAGGAACACCTCCTCAGGCCCAGAGCTGCCCTGGCTAGTGCAGAAAACCTTGAAGGCCAGTCTGCCAAGGCCATGAGAGATCAGCACATTGGAGATACCAGGGGAGCAGGGTGATGCTGGGGGAGGGGTTCCTCACTGTCCTGCCTTTTACAGGTTCTCCAAACACATGTAAAATGAGCTTTTACTCAACCACAACACTAGTAGGAAGGTGCACAGCAAATGAGTAAAAAAAAATCCAGTTTATGTAAAATTAGGCTCTGGATAAACATACTATTCTAAATATACAGATTGGGAATTTAAGTCTACCAGTCCAACACAGATATTACTTGCTACTTCACGTTCATGACCAGCATATAAGCTGTGTTAATAGCACTGCTAACACCATGTGGAAGGGGCTCGCACAATGCCACCATAGCCAGGCAGCCACACACAGTGCCTGCCAGCCTCCACCACCTTGAGAAACACCTTGTCCACGGGAGAGGGACAGTGGCGAGACTGCTCCTGTTCACACACAATGGGCTCACCCTGGTCTCATCTGGGTGTGCCAGGCCTGGGAAAGGGCAGAATCTCAACCTTCAGCAAAATAACCAGGGTTTAGATCCACACCAGAGCGTGCAACGCAACTCACTGGTAAAAACTGCCTTCTAGAATTACTGGAGGTGGCACCGGCACACATGCACCCCCAGCTGCCCTCGCCTCCCCATGCCCAGGCAATTCCAGCCTTCCTCAGTAACAGAGCAAGGGACCAACCTCCTGTGCCACAGGGCCCAGGCAGAGCAGCATCCTGTGCCACTCAGCCCATCTCCTGTGGAACTCTGCAGGCTCAGCTGCAGTGGCTTGGGTGACAATCTCTGATTAACTATCTTCTAGATTCTAAACCTTTGATTTAGAAAGATGAAGATCACACATGGGAGTTTAATTTAGACCTGCTATGCCATTTTAAGTCCATTTTCTAGCAGGACTGCATCTGATTTACACCAGCCTGAGCTGAGACTTGAGCACAAATCTCTGCTGCAAATGGCTTACCTGTGATGTCCCGTTTTTCTACACTCACAGTGAGTGGGAAATGAGACCCATTTTTTGTCCTTCTCTAGTCTGCATCCAGACCCGTATCTACCCTTGTGTGTAACAAGCCAAGATCAACAAGCTCGATCCCCTCAGATCTATTATTTAATACCCACTTTACACTGGGTGAAAGCAGTTAAGTGTTCACACAAAGCTAATTTAGATAAATGTGTCTTTACACCTTCATTTTAAAATCACAAAGTAGGACTTTATAGGAAGGAAGAGCAAATAGCTGCAATGTCAGCACCAGGACAACATGAAGGTGTCTGGGCTCCCCGCTGCCCCACAGCAATGCTGGCAGTTGGACCCTCCTCCACTAAAGACAGACATGTTTAGGAAGATGATGCAAGGAGGAGAAACTCTTGCAGCATTACTGAACACACAGAATGTGTGGAGAGACGAGAGCCGCGCACTGAGTATTTCTGGAGGCCGGGAGAGCAGTGAACAGAAGCAGCGTACACTCACTCAGGTCTGTCCTCCCAGACACTGCTCAAAGCAGGCTTCCAGGCTGCAGCTGCCTGTCAGCCAAAAAACTGCCCATCTGGGCTTAAGCTTGATTTCAGGAAACACCAATTTCACACTGGAACCAGTTCTCCTGATTAAAACACCAGATACAGAGTCACCAGTTAGTGTCTGGCAACAGGCTTACCAGAGGGCTGGCAGGTATTGCTGCCTCCAGCAACTGTCAAGGTTCTGTAAGTCCCATTTTACTGTTCCATTTTTCCTAAGTGCTCTACGAATGGCGATGGTGGGCCCTGGACCAGCCCATACACCCAAGCCTGCACTACGCACCCGACAGCCCAAAGCAGTTACAGATACAACCAAGACACTGCCCAGCCTGCGACACCACCCCACGCCAAAAAAAAAACAAAAGGCTTCTGCTGCATTGGAGGCACATTAGCAAAGGTTCTCACACCCTGAACACTCATGCACTGACAAACCACCCGCCCAGGTGGGAGGGAAGGGACAACCGCGGGCAGCCAGCAAAAGGTGAGCAATTATCATCACTAGGGTGACGCTGAGAACAGCTCATGGAAAAATCTTAACCTAGCAACACATCCGTGCACTTATTTGCTTTCTGTCTAATTATTTCCCAGAAGTGCATAATCAGTGAGAAACTAAAACTCTAACCACGCTAGAAAATGTTGGTTAATCTATTTCAGAAGAGAAGGCACGAATTACCTGAAGGGATGATTTCATTGAAGTCAAGCACAGTGGCCTCAAGGCCGCCTTAGCAGCTGCAATGAGCAGCACCTCTGTAACACCTGGCACGGACTCCTCCCTCAGCTGAGTGGACAGAGCTTTGGTTACATACAACATCCCCTACATCAGTCCCTAGAGACTCAGGGAGCGTCAAAAACCATTCCTACCGACCATGGTAGCTGCCTCCGGACTCCCTTCTCATCCAATTTACTGTCCCAACAACGATAATCTCCCTCCCCGTTCAGAGACAATATTTGACATGGTGGGTCCAGGAGGTACTTCCACTGGTTTTACAAGGTGGGTGAAACCCTGTAGCTCAGAACAGGACAAAAACCAGGGTGGGAGGCAAGGCACTGCCAGGACCCAGTTCCAACATGGGTGCCACTGGAGCAGTGGCTCAGCCATCCAGCCTGGAGCACTGCATGGCCCAGAGGTACCCAGGGGTGACCAGGAACTGAGGATCACAGGCTGCAGCCAGTGGCTCATATCCCAGGGAAACTCCCAGCCCCTGCAAGAGAACCACACCAGGACTCGGGTCTAACCCAGCAGCTCCCCATAACAGCAGCACCTGAGCTCCAATTGCAGCTGGGCTTCAGGAGGAAGAGACAAGAGCACTGTGCTCCTTCCAGAACACAGAGGCTGTTAGGGGCTTCAACGGCACAGACACAAGATTAATGACTTCAGAAAGTAGGCTTTTTATGCTTTTTCTTTCAGTTGCAGTTCTAAGAATATCCATCAGTGACTCAAACAAGGTACTTCACACAGTAAATGAGAACTCTTTATTTAAATTAACTTTCCTGGTTTCTATTTAGGACAGTAGAAAGGCCCAGCTGCTCCTCTCTTCAGAATGGTCACAGAAAAACCTCTTGAACTGGCCAACACAATTTAAAGAGCAGTTGACCTTAATTTTTACTGAAGTCACAAAACAATGTAATTACTCTGCAAATAATTTGGTTTATATAATTTAGTATATAATGCACTGTTCAACTCTGCCATATATTCTGAAAAATATACAAACTTGCTTTAACCACATTAGAGATATCTGCCAGAGAGCTGTCACTTAACAGTTTCGGACAACATCAGACACTCCTATAACTCCATTTTAAACTACAAAAAGAACATAAATTCATATAAAATACAACAGATTAAACAAACATTTTTTTCCAAGGAAAAATTAGGTATCAACTCAATCTGCGATCGTGTGAAACATGAATATAAAATAAGTTACAGTTAGTAATGCCTGCATTGCTGAGCTATGAACTGGTCGAATGAAATCTTAAAAAAACTATACAGTATTATTGCACTCCATGACTGTGCAGGACCTGGAAACACGCCAGCACTGAAACAGCTCTTTCATTAAGTTTTTCTCAGGAGGCACAACGCGGCTGCGAGTGAAGCATCCAGTCTGTACTAACAGCGCGCTGTCTTCAGTACAGGCCTTCATGGGTCTGCGCCGCGCTGCCTTTGGAAATTGCCACTTAATGCCTGGAAATGGAGACACAAGGGTTACAGTCAGCAGCCATGCTGGCCCCAGAGAGCAAACTGCCCCCGATGCTGTTGGAACAGAGCAGAGGCAGTTGCTGTATCTTGGGAGAACAGCAGCCAGGCACGCTTCGGGTAAGAAACCTGAACTACCAGCACTGTCCCTTGGGAGGCTGGAACTCATGCCAAGAGAGCAGTCAGCATTTAATTCTGGGGTACCTCCCAGGGATACCATCAGAATGGCTCGTAGTTAGCTTGAACTGACAAGGAAACACTGAAACACAAAGTCACTGAGGTTCACTATCAACCCCTCCTCACCTTTAGTGTTACTTCCTACATGGAAATACAACTGAATGGGTTTTTTGTTGCCATTCTTCTAAACTCATCCCATT